TTCAATCTCTGGCACCCTATGTGGTCCCCCAATCCTGCCAGGAGTGATCCTTGAGCACAGCAAGTCCCAAACACTGCTAAGTATGGCTCCCAACTTAAAAAAAAAACCCAAATAAGAAAACAAAATTAAAAAGTGATGATGCTTGTTCCAAGAGACAGAATTTACTGTTTTTGAATGTTCTGGGTTTTTTCTTTTACTCCCAAGGGGGTCATAGGTGAAATCACATCAAAGGAGGCCAAAGCATGAGACTCAGGGGTGAGCTGGCAGGTTAGGGGGGTTCATAGAAGGGAATCAAGGTTGGGAAGGGGCCACAGGGACAAAAAAATGAGAAACACGGGTCTATATAAGACACAAAATTCAAGCACAAAGAAAATAGGAGGTAGGATCAACATATCTCATTTAAAGCAGAAGTGATGACACAACTAAGATTACGACAGTGTCAGTGAAAGCCAAGCAGCTGCGCCAGGACCCTGGGCTCCAGCATACGGAGACTTCTCCGGTGCCTCCCTAGGCTGTTTTAATGTTTTAATCATTCACCCTAGTGAATGATTGTAACAAAGAATGAAAACTTAGTATGAGGAAGAAGAGAGAGTTTCCAGGAGATTAAAAAACTATGGTAGTCAAATGATCAGGAAGAGCAATTTTCAGGAAAAATCTCTCTCAGTTGCAGAATTCTATGGTAGTGCTCTAAACCCATTTTGTACCCCTTAAGAAAAGACTTTACATCACTGTTGACTGAGGTTGACTCTTCGGGTCAGAGAGAGAACACAGCAGGTAAAGTGCTTGCCTTTCCACAAAAGTAACCCCAGTTTGATCCCCAGCACTGCATATGGTCCCCTGAGCACAGAGGCAGCAGTAAATCCTGAGTGTACCCCCCAACAGAAACAATCTTTTGAGATTCATTTCAAAAGTTCCCACGTCCAGGGTAAACAGGGGCGAGGTGGACTGGTCAATGGTTGGAAGCTTGCTACAAGAGTGTATGGAGGGCAAAGGGCAGTTAGGATACAGAAGGGACCAACATAACAATAACAGTTGGACACGATTATTTTGGACAGGAACTAAGTGTTAAAAGTAGGTAAAGGCATGGTATGGTGCCGCCACCAGTCAACCTTTGCTTGTGGAGAGTGTATCATCAGTCTGATGGTGCCTTCAGGCTTCCTGACATCCCCAAATTGCAGCTGTGCCTTTGACCGAACCCCAACAACTTGGGACAAAGTTTACCAAGAAATTAAATGGCCAAAAGTTAGGTATGCGAGAGCCACACCCACAGACCACCTCATTTATTGGCCTTATTTTAGAGACCCATAGATAAATCTTGAAAGAGATCAAAAGTCAGTAAATTTTAGACCCGTGCACGGCAGGTCGACCTTTGCCCACCTAAGCAGAGCCCCCAGCAGCCGCTTGCTCAATTTACCCTGGTCTATTCAGCCATGTGCAGATTTGAGCTTACCTTGACTCTTGTTCTCTTTTGAGATTTATTTATGGGTCTCTGAAGCAAGGTCAGTAGTAGAGCTTACAGGATGGCACTGGAGTTGGTTCGTGGGGGTGACTGTCAGTGTTTCTGTGAGTACTGGGAAGTGGGGGGAAGTAGAGCTCCCCAACTCCGAGAAGGTCTGGAGATTTTAGTCACAAAATATGCATAACAGGATTTTCAGCAGATAATATCTTGGTGAAGTCTGTCCTGAGACAGTGGAGTCAGGCCGGGGCTATGGTAGCGATTTTGGATTGTGGAAGCAAGTGGCTGCTCGGGGTTCTGCTTGAGCAGGCCACTGGGCCAACTCTTCCTCTGATTTACCTGTCTGTTCAGTCATGCCGCAAGAAGAAAGAAGAAGAAAGAAGAAAGAAGGAGAAAGAAGAAGAGGAAGAAGAGGAAGCAGAGGAAGCAGAGGAAGAGGAGGAGGAGGAAGAGGAGGAGGAGGAGGAAGAGGAGGAGGAGGAGGAGAGAGAGAGAGAAGGAGAGAGAGAGAGAGAGAGAGCGAGCTTGTCATAGATGGGGCAGGGGCAGGAGGGAAACTGGGACCATTGGTGGTAGGAAATGTACAGTGCTGAATGGGTGGCTGTTGGAATATTATATGACTGAAAGCCAACCATAAACAACTTTGTAACTGTATATATCACCGTGATTCAAAAATAATTAAAAAATAAAACAAAAATTTCGACCTCTCCAATTGCTTTCTTTGCACTCCCCGTTTGTGAGTTAATCCTCTGAATTCCTTCAGATTCTAAGGGACCATGCAGATCATGACACCTAGGGGACCAAGGCAGTAATGATTATATACTTATGTATCCTAATGCCAGAACAGGAATTAAACTATAAAGAGAACACTCAAATAAGCTTTTCAGATGGACTGAGAAAACCAGCCCCAATCTGCAATGAGCTGGCTGGGCAAAGGAACCAATTTCTTCACCTTTCTGAGTCTTATATTTTTCCAGTGAAACTTGGTGAGCCGGGAGCCAGCGAAAGAGATGAAAGAGTGGCAGCACAGGTCTTGAGTACAGGAGGCCCTGGTTCAATCCTGGGCAACACCTGTGCCCCTGGGAGTAAACTCCAAGCACTGAGCTCCCCCTGATCTCTTGAGCACTGCTGGAAAATGCCCCCAAATCAAAAACAAAACAAAGAGTGAGGATTATGAAGGAAAGAGAGAAGAGAGATCTGAGTTATTAGGTCCATTTTTTAAATTTACTTTATCTATTTAATCTACTTCACATTTTTTTTGGTAAAATATTTCCCTAAGGGAAGTGCTTGTATTGGCAAAGGAAAACCACATCTCTGTAATAGCTGTGCACCTGACTACCTACATGTTACAATGACTCACGATTGCCACCTGCTGGAAAAACACCGAACTCCTATTTCAATTAAAAGTTGGAAGTGCCAAGATTTTCAATGGCATAATACACACCCAAAAGTTACATTTTTAGGATGAAGGAGAAACAAATAAACAGAATCCAGATAAGCAAAAACTAGTGGAGAGAATCTGACATAATGCACCTTTCTTACAAGAAATATGGAATAAACTTCCCTTAGTATTTGCATAATACTAATGCAAATTTCAAACAGGAAGCTAAAAGTAAAGAGAACTACAAAGGCCACTGGAGATGTGGCTCCACGGGAGAAGAGATGCCTCTCAGTGGTGAGGCCGTGGGTTCTATCTTTGGTACTGCAAAGCATGCACCTATGTATCCCAAAGTAAGAGATGTGAAATGAAATCTAAGATTTTTAGAGTAAAATGCTGATCATACTAAAAAATTCAACTCCAGAATTTTCTGGAGTGTGCTACGGGCTGGAGTGATAGCACAGCAGGTGGGGAGTTTGCCTTGCACGTGGCCGATCTGGGTTCGATTCCTGCATCCCTTTCGGAGAGCCTGGCAAGCTACTGAGAGTATCCCGCCCATATGCATGGCAGAGCCTGGCAAGCTCCCTGCGGGATATTCGATATGCCAAAAACAGTAACAAGTCTCACAATGGAGACATTACTGGTGCCCGCTCGAGCAAATCCATGAACAATGGGAGGACAGTGCTATCAGTTGAAATAAAATTTAATGTTTAGAATCCATTTTCAAATATTTTTATTGTCACTTATATATTCATTACAGTTGGGCTTTGCTCCAAAAGAGAGAGGATAAAAAGATTTATCTCCAAGTAGAGTAGTTTTTCTCTTTTTGAACTTCTCAAAATGTAAGAAGAACAAAAGATTTAAAATCAATACCATTAATGCTTTAAGACTATATGAGACTTTTTCCTTTTGGTTTTTGGGTCACACCCAGGACTACTCCTGGTTCAGTGCTTGGGGGGAGGGGTAGAGAACCGTTCCGGGCAGTGCATAGGGGGATACTGTTGGTACTGGGGATGAAACCCAGCAGGCCTCCTGCTTGTGCACCAAATGCTCAGCTCACTGAGCTATCCCTCCAGCCCCAGATGGGACTTCGGTTGGAGATGTTGAAAGATATTATGGTCATGGCCTCAGAGTATACCAATACCCAGAGTCATATTTGAAGAGAATGGAGAGAAATTCATAAAGCTGATCAGTAATAAGAGACTGACTGTGTGTTCCTCTTTAAATCAGGAGGATGGACACCATGGAAAGTATCATATATACAATCACAAACATTCAGAGAAATAAGCAGGGCACAGAATGAATTAAAATATAAGGGAGGTAGGAGGCAGTTCTAAATATTTACACCCCTGGAAGTAATCCCAGACTACAAAGAAGAGAGGAGAACCCTATTGACCCTCATGCTGTCACATTCTATGGCACCCGTGCTTTAAGATGGACACCTGCAGTGACACTAGGACATCAGACAAGAGGATATTTTTCCTCTCTGGCACCAGAGCCCTCCCCTTCTTCTGTGACAACAGCACCTGTCACACATAAAGCACAATGTAGAACTGTTAGGTGAGGAAGAAAGATCGCTAGATATTTATAAGAAATGATTGGCTGTTATAGAACCATTATTATTATTATTATTATTATTATTATATTATTATTATTAGCCTGAATAGGCCTGGTTGCTTTATCTGTAAAATAAAGTTACCTATAGCTAAGTCAGAAATAGTGGGAGAATATACGTGAACAATGCTTGGCCAGTCATTAGCACTGACTCACTTATTATCCTGATTATTAGTTCAAGTGATACAAGTTGCCTACTTGTTCTATGAAATACCTGCCTGTTCATAAACTACAGGTGTCCATGCCTGTGAAGGTTACTGTTACGTGCGCCTGTGTGTGTGGAGCAAAGACATAAGTGATGCACAAGCACTGAAAGCCACAGGCTAAAAGGCTGCACTTAGTGTGACTCCAAGTCAATACTGGGACAAGTGAAAATCTACTCAAACTAACGCTGGACTTTTGGCAAAACAAACTGTTGTTGACTTGTCTGTGCTAAGCCTGGAGTAGCCCCAACAGTGGAAGGTGCCTCAAGATATTTTGGTTTTTATTTGATGGGCTTTTTGGGAGGGGAGATGTGTGTGTCTTCTGGACACCAAACCCACGTCTGCCTACCTTCTCGATTAACTCGTAGCTCTCCTCCAGCTTGAGCAGTCTGTTCTGCAGGGCGGTGGAGGCCCGCTGGTACACTTCCCGCCACTCCTGGAAGTCGCTCTCCGAAATCTCAGCCACGGCGAAGCACAGAGTTCTCAGGCCTGAAAAAAGGTGGCAAACTCAGTTCCCAAAACAGAGCAAAAATGTAGTCAGAGGTTTGAAGTTTCCATGTGTATTTGAGAAAAAAATCTCATTCTTAAAACACCGCTAATAAGTTCCGCACTGAAGTCAAATTAAAGTATGACAAAATGTTAGTGTGAAATGTATGCATTAAGGTCTGGAGGGACAATGTAGGCACTAAGGCTCATGCCTGGAATGTGACTCTCCAGGGCTGGGTCCGAGACACTGCAGGATCCTTTAAACTGGTTACTATTGGGTGTGGGGTCACTTCCACAGCCCCACCTCAGGGTCCAGCCACATTCTCAGGCCATACTGGCTATGAATTTTTGGCTCCAGCTTCTAGACCTACTGAACACCCTTGGGAGGCTCTACCTCCAACAAAAACGTGGACTTGGGTTCAGAAGTTGAGCTCTCAGGGAGATCTGAGTGGCTAAGTACTCAGGGATACTTTATTGGCTAAGTATCCAGGGATAGTCTATTGGCTAAGTTGCCAGGCATAGCTCAGTGGCTAAGTACTCAGTGATAGTACTCAGTGGCTGAGTGTCCAGGCATAGCTCAGTGGCTGAGTGCCCAGAGAAGCTCAGTGGCTGAGTCCCCAGGGAAAGCTCAGTGGCTTAGCAGCCCAGGGATAGTTCAGTGGAGAAGTACCCTGGGATAGCTCAATGGTTGAGTGCCTGCCTTTGAGGCATGAGGAAGCAAGGTTAATCCCTGTCATCAATGCTCATGCTGAGTGCCATTGGGGTGGGGCGCCTGTCTGTCAGAGAGTCCCCATGTGACAAATTGTGTGCATGTATACGACAAGGAAGTGTACATCCCCTAGCAGTATCACACCTAAGTGTGCAGGGACTAAAGCCAAGCATGTAAGCCCTAGCACCACTACAACCCAAAGTGTGCGAGTACCACAACAAAAGGGTTTGACCTGAGCACAATTATGTGTTTGTCTAAGGGTGGAAGTTCAAAAATTCAAAGCATAAACAGTTTATGCTTTGGGGACAAAAATCTACTGTATCTCCCCATCCATCAAAGTGTCACAACCCTTACCAGCAGAGCCCTCTGTTCCTTCCAAGTGTTTACTGATGTTCCACTTTAGGCTTGGCACCTGCCGTGTTTCAGATTCCTACTTGCTACAATCCATCCTCCAGGATTACAGGGCATTTTCTTAATTCCTAATCTCACCAGGTTACTCAAATGCCTAAAATCTTCCAGCTGTTCCCCAAGATAAAGTCCCAGCTCCAGTTGGGCTCATTTGCCACACCTCAATAGCCTTTCACTCCATTCCTTTGCACCCACTTCCAGCTGACTAGCCAGTGTCTGATCTGATGCCCCTCCAGCTCATACACACTGTGTTTGCCTTGCATCATCATCCTGATCCCATAGGCACAAATCCCCAAATAACCCTCTGGTATGAATGATAACACTTTGCAGTGTTTTTCAGTGAGGATCTTCTGCATGAACAGAAAGGCTTCTGGAGAGAAAGAATTACAGCTCCCTACCTGTAACCCCTGCTCCTAGAGATGCTTATGAAGAAAGGGAAAAAGGAATCGCAGAGGGGCCCAATAGGAAGCTACCAGCTTCCAGTTGATCTATTGGTTTTACTGCTCACTGCTCATTACCCTCTCAAGTTTGGGCCATGAAGGGCATTAATAGCATCAAGGGTTACTTCTCACAGAAGCCTCCTGGCCAAGCAATCAAAGCAGATACATAAGGTGCCTTTTCCCAGTACATGGAGCCTCTTATTTCTGTAATGGTGAGCAGAAAAAATATTTCTGGGGTGGGACCAGGCAAAAGCATTTGTCAGTCAGGATAGTTGCAGTTAGATTGGTTCTCTGGAAGACAAGCCCTTCACTCCAAGCTGTTGACTGTGGCTGGGTGCTGGTGAGCTCAAGTCCAGTAAAATGTGACCAGGAAACAGGTCAAAGCAAAGATGTTAAGAGATAAAGCTGGAGGATTCTATCTGTTGAGAAAGGAGGAAAGCTGTTGACTGACAAGTGACCGTACCATTTTTTTCCTTGGGGCCATATTGGAACATGTTTCTCTCCTTTGAAAACCTGGCTGGAACTGTGGTTCAGCTTCAAGCCAGAAAGAAAGGTGGGGGGAGGAGGTGGACAAACCCACCAGAATCAGATATTTCTTTATTTTACCTTGCTTCATTTTGGTTTTGGGGGGTCACACCTGGAAGTGCTCAGGGGTTGCTCTGGGTGATTCTGGAGGACCATGTGGTGTCAGGAATTGAATCCATATCTACTGTGTCTAAAGCATGTGCTCCAACCCCATCAGCTATACCTCGGGGCCCATGGAGGGTAAACCAGCCCCCTAGCCTCCTGAGGTGGCATCACCTGGTGGTGCCCAGGGCTGACTCCTGACCCTGTGCTCGGAGATCACTCCTGCTTGGGCTTGGAGGACCATAGGTGGTGTCGGGGATCAAATTGGCCATGTTTCAGGCAAGTGCTTTACCCCTGTCTCTCAGGCCCAGCATATATTTCCAAATTCACAGCTAGAGAGGATAAAAATGTCCCCCAACCCCCTCAAACTAAAATAAAACTAAGCACTACTGCATGCTGGGTAGTGTGAACCTGCTTAGAATCTAAAGTTGGATCTTAAGAAACTTGAACTCCAGGGCTGGAGTGATAGGAAGCTTGCTTTGCACACTGCCAACCTGGGTTTGATTCCTAACATCCGATATAGTCCCCTGAGCACTGCCAGGCTTAATTCCTGAGTGCAGAACCAGGAGTAAACCTTGTGCAATGCCGGGTGTAACCCAAAAAACAAAAAACAAAACAAAACAAAACAAAAAACACAAGAAACTTAAACTCTACAGCCAAGGATGTTTCCATTCACATCTGAGGTGTACTAGGAGATCGTATCCTTGTTTTTCAAAGTCTAATGTTTTCATAAAACAGTTTGATCTTTCTTAGCTTGAAGAGGAAAAGGCATTTGATTAGAGGTCAGGCTCAGGAATATTGGCAAACTTAAGACACAGAGATTCAGTTTTGTCTACGCTGATTCAATTTAGGATTAAGACTACAAATCTAGGGTCAGAAATAGAGTTCAGCGGCTAAGGCTTGACTTGCATGTGGCTGACCCAGATTGATCCCTGGTACCGCATATGGTCCCTTGAGCACTGCCAGAAGTGAGCAGAGCCAGGAATAATCCCTGAGCACTGCCAGGCGAGATCCCCAAGAGGAAAAACAGGCAAACAAACAAAGAAAACCAAAGCCCAGAAACAAACAACAAAAAACCTCTACACATTCTTGCTGCTCCGAAGCCCAATGTTTCATACCTCTTCCTTTCTGCCCTGGACTGCAGGCCACCTCCCTTAGCCTAGCACTGTTCTCACTGTATACTTCACTAGCACAGAGACAGGACTCAGAACATTCCCAGTGAACTCTGAGTGATACAATACCTCGCAAGTTAACAGGGAATCAAGAAAAGGTCTTACACTGAAAATAAACTTAACAATTACTTTAGTCCCTTCTTTGTTTAATTTCTATACAGGCTCTCGCCTGACAGAGCTGAGGTTGCTTGGTCTGTGGTGCTCCAAGTGGTCACTGGGGCCACATTCAGCAGTGCCTAGGGGGCATGGACCCCAGCATCTTGCACAAGCCAGGCATGTATTCTATCTCTTGACTAACTTCCCCCCACAACTATTTTTAACGCTTCTTTATTTTTTTCTCTCTTATCCAGAGTAGTATATTCAGTTTATTTGTTCTTATTTCTTATTTTTTTTTCTTTTTGGGTCACACCCAGCGATGCATAGGGGTTACTCCTGGCTTATGCATTCTGGAATTACTCCTGGCGGTGCTCAGAGGACCATATGGGATGCTGGGAATGAAACCGGGGTCAGCTGCATGCAAGGCAAATGCCCTACCTGCTGTACTATCGCTTCAGTCCCTTATTTCTTTTTCTTGCTGCACTTTTTCTGCTTCAGGTACAGAGCAAAGCGTTTAAACTAAGTGGGTTTCTATTCTAAAAAGGGGACAGGATGGGCCTTACTGTAGAGACTCATAAATTAATCTCAAAAAAAAAAGATTAATTAGCCACAAAAATTCCCAGATACCTGGTACTGGCTGAGACCTCAGTCAGGAAGAGGTAGTCAAGTTCCAGCCCCACCAAAGCCCCAAGAGATGCATTCACACCCAACAGTTGCCGCCATGCCTCCGCTGGCGGAGTCCTATTTAACAGGACTGCCCTGTTAAATATTCTGGAGTTTTTTGACATCTCCAAATGCAACAATATGGACATCCCAGTAGGAACACACCAGATTGGGTGGCAATGTACCGTAGAAGCCAACTAATCTCTAACAAAAACATTAACACAGAAGGCTTAACTTGCAACAACAGCTTAGTAAACTGTCAGATAAGGACTTATTGTGCCCATGAGACATTATGGGATGTGATGAAAAGGCGTGAGGGATGAAAAGGCAATCCAAGATCATGTCTCAGCTAAGAGAAGAGGAAACTTGGGTAGGTTCCTGTCCCTCAATTATCTGGTGCTCTGTGTTTGTGGATGTCTGTTGCTCTCCTGCTTAAAAATCCATATTGCAGACATATCTTTCTGGCACTTTCCATATTTCCAATTATAGAAGTCCCCACTTATCTGCAGAGGATATATTCCAAGATCTTCAGGAAACTATGGATATAATACATAGCCCCACATTTCCTATGTTTTTCCCTATATATGCACATCTATGACAAAGTTTATGTTATATGCAGTGAAAGATTAATAATAACATTATAAAAGAGAGCAATAGAATAATATACTATAATAAAATCTGTGTGAATGTGAAAAAAGGGCTGGAGTTATTGGCATTTCTTAAAATTTTAGTAAATATTGTTTTAGGGAAGAAAAATTAACATATTTTTTCAGTGACAATTTGGTGGCATTGAGCATTGGTTCCACACCGCCATAGTAAAATGGAAGTTGTGATAAAGTCATGAATTGTGGGGTTTCCCAGTGCAGGTCAAAGTATGTTTACCCTACACAGTGGTTTAGTAAGTGCTGAAGAGCACTGTGTCTAGAAAAACCACACACACATTTCTAAATTAAAATGTACTTTTTAGCTTAAATAATGCTACTTTGGTCATATTTTTCCTGTTTTGGGGGTCTTGATAAAAGTGCTATCTGTGAAGTGAAATAAAATAAGGTCTGTCTGCATTAGTCTAAGTCATATTTTGATCAAGATTAGTAATATAATCAATATATATTGATAATACAGTGCTGTGTATTATATGGAGATAAGTCATGATCAACACTCACCATTAATGTACTTTAGAAAATGTATAGATAAAACAAATCCTTTTTAGATTTTAACTATTTTCTATCACCATAATAAACTCACCTTCTGTAGCAAACTGCTCTAAATGTTTGAGGGTAATTTCTTTATATTTTGAAGTTTCTGCAAGTCGATCATAAATCACAGTGTCCTGGAAATTAAAGAAAATACATAATTCACCTAACTAAGCAATAAAGTTTATGTGGTAACATTATCAGGAGCAAATCTGCATTAAAAGGAATCACTCATAGGATCTGTTTTAGAGTGCTACATATATTCCCCTAATATTGGTTCTAGAATGACACTAAATCATAAGGTAATATTTGATATTTTCATCATTCTTCTTTCTGATTAAATCCGTAAGCCTACAATATTAAAAATAACATATTTTTAAAAAATAACATATTTTAGCAAAACTTCATTTACCATGTGTCGCAAACTCACCAGGCACAAGCCTACCAACAACAACACCCCCACCCCCCTCGCCCCACACCAGTAGCACCAGCACCAGCACTGAAGGTATTTCATTCACTGCAGTGTATACAGAGGAGAAAGCAGGGCCAGTCTTCCAAGTGTTTGGAAAATGCTGGACTGTTCAAAGCTCGAGGCTGCCCTTCTGCAAGATTTCCTAGAATGGGAGTTTTCAAAGCTGTTTATGTCTGTGGTCTTAAGTGGCACCAGTCCACACTTGGGTCCACAGACTGGTGGTTCGTAGCTATTGTCTTAGAGGTTTTAAAAAGGAGAATGGGCACAGTGGGGCTTTATGAGGGCAATATGGTACATGCCCCGAAGTCATTCACCCTGGATTTTTTTTTCTTTTTTTTTTAGGGATGAGGGCTTGCCTTAAACAAAACAAAACCAAAACAAAATTCCCAAACTGAAACCTCAAGATAACACTTGCTAAGAAACACAAAAGTTTAATCCACCGAGAGAGGGTGATATGTACAGCGAGTGGACTCTTGGTCAAAGTGTGCATTGCCTGATTGCTGAGTATTGCAGACTATCATTTTAAGGATCATTTTACTTAGTCTATAATATTCAATCAATGGTTTATCTTTAAAGTCCCTTTCATCTTTATGTTTCTCTGATTTTTATTCCTCTACACATGGACTATTATGGCTTCAGATATTCTTTATCATTGGTTTACATTTAAAAATTTTTTTACGGGGCAACTGCAGTCTCATGGGAAGAGAGGCAGTATAGACTCGTCTTTCATGCCCTACCGAGGTCACGAGTTGCCCCCCACGAGCGGCTCTCCGGCATGGCCATAACACCAGACACACAGAAACCAATCTCGTAATTATCTGGCTCTTTGCAGAAATCCCTCCAGACTTACCTAGTAAAATACCAGAAATCCAAAATCATGACATCATAATGGTTCTCATAACCAGCTATAGAAATCAAATTATTTCACAATGCCTTTTCAGCAATTCTGATTGTTGGGGGGAAATTCTAAACAATAATGGTGCATCTTTTGTCGAAATAATGAATGTAATCAAAGTAGAGAGAGAGAGTTAAGTAGAAATCAGCTGCCTCACAGACATTGGGAGGGGTGAGAGGGGGGTTATATTGGGGTTCTTGGTGGTGAAAAATAAGTACTGGTGAAGGGAAAGGTGTTTGATCATTGTATGACTGAGACTTAAACCTGAAAGCTTTGTAACTTTTCCCACAGTGATCCAATAAATAAATATAAAAAAGAAAAAAATAATAACCATTAAAAAATTTAAAAAATCAAAAAAAATTTTTTTAGTATTTGGTTTTCTAGATCAGCAAAACATAAATCATCCTGGAATTTCTTTCTCAGGGGTCTTATGTAATTTGGGGTCTCCAGTCTCAGATTTGAAAGCATGCTAATGGAGTTTCATTTAGAACCCTTGAGACAAACAGAATTTTGTGACCTTAGAACAGGTGGAACAATTCAAGCCCCAGTTATGACTTTCTTTTAACTTTTCAGTGGTGAAATGGAGACACAGGGAAAGGAAATGCTAATTCCCTTCCTGATCATCACTCCTTTCTGATAATGAAAGATTCTATAATAAATTATAGATACCATAATTATCTATAAAGATAACGACGTTTCTATAACTTAGAAACTTTTCTCCCCTGCTCCTCCTGGCTAAATGATAATTTCAATGAAACTTAGAATGGTCACTAAGCAAACCTTCCAAAAAATTTAAAATATGAAATCAAAGGTGACAAGTAATACGGCTAGGCAGATTAAATCCACATGTGGCTAAAACTTCCAGTAGAATAAACGATGCCCCAAATAGCAGACATTCGTTTTCTGCCTCTCTGCAGTGTTGAGAAAAGCAGGGGACAGAATGTGTCTTCTGATAAAGGATAAGCTGGATTTTTTTAAAAATTGATTTTAATTATTTTTGGGTTGAGCCATATCCAATAAAGCTCAGGGACTATTCCATGCTCTGAGCTCAGGGACTCACCTCTGGCAGTGCTTGGGGAACCTTATGGCACAGGGGACTGAATCCAGGCATCACATATGCAAATAATACTCTCAGCCCATTCTTCTTCTTCTTCTTCTTCTTCTTCTTCTTCTTCTTCTCTCTCTCTCTCTCTCTCTCTCTCTCTCTCTCTCTCTCTCTCTCTCTCTCTCTCTCTCTCTCCTCCCTCCTTTCAGGCACTGTGGTTTGCAACACTGTTACTGAAAGTTTATCATGTACATCACTTTACCTCCTTTCAGCACTCAGTTCTTGTCCAGAGATTATTTCCAATTATCATTGTCATAGTAATCCCTTCTCTGTCCTAATAGCACCCCCCCCACAACTTGTGGTAGGATTCCTACCTTAGACCACTCTTCCTGGTCTTCACAGCCTCCTCTGAGGGCTATGTTAAGTGCCTGACATACTAGTATGGAACCCAAAAGGGTTACCTCCCAGAAGAAATAAACTATATGAACCCTCGTGGAATCAAACCCACATGCTGACAGAAAATCCTGTCTGGAATGAGTGACCTGGAATCCTAATCCTGATAAGACAAAAGTGGAAGAGAATCTGCTGGAAGGAAGGTTAGCCCTTAGCCTCCCCCCACCCCCATCCCGTACCTCCTCCCCACATATATATCCCATTACAGGCAGGTGACATACAGCTTCATGAGACAAAATTCATCTTAGGTAGATTTTCATTTTTAAAATGTTATTTTTCTGTTAACCTTTCAGAATGACTTCCAGTGATGCTCTGTCTTCACTTAAGATGCTTTGCCCATGGAAGGTGATTTAAAGATAGCTGCTACATGAGGAAGATACTGGATCTTCCCAAAGTCACATTTGTATGGAATATGACATGGTTTTTAAAGGTAAAGGTAAAGGCCCTCCCGTTGATCGTCGATTTGTTCGAGAGGGCCCAGTAACGTCTCCATTGGAGACTTTGTTGTTACTGTGTCTGGCATATCGAATACTCTCGGTAGCTTGCCGGGCTCTCCGAGAGGGGCGGAGGAATCAAACTCGGGTCGGCCATGTTGACTGTGTGCAAGGCAGACGCCCTACCCGCTGTGCTATGGAAATCAGCCTTAAGGAATCTGATCTTATTGCCAGGTTAAACAACACGTAGTGACTGACCTACTATAGGAAGACTGGGCCCCTGAGAACTAAAATACCAGCTGAAGATATTAGACACATCTCAATCAAGTGAGATCAGCAGTTTCCGTGTTTGTGAAAGTCATTCAGCATTACTGTACTTGGCCTCTAATGTGGCAGTGAACTGCTAAAGGTAACTTTCAGATCTGTTCTTTTTGGCATGTGACCCAAAATCTTATTGAAGGCACTTAATTTGAAAATTTCAGTCATTTTAAAACATCTAAAGCATGAAGTTTGTCAGTCAAAATTCTAATTCTTGCTATGTTATATAAGTTTTGGAGTAGAATTTTGTTAGAAGTTTGTCAGTTACCAAGGCAGATATAAACTGTATAATAGTGAAGTTTTTGGTTTTTATCTTCGGGCCATACCCAGCTGTTCTGAGGTCTTACTCCTAGCTCAGTACTGTTCCCCCCCCCGCCCCCAATCCCTGGCAGATCCTGGCAGGGATTGGGGAAACATATGGGGTACTATGGTTCACATCTAGGACAACTACAGGCAAGGCAAGCTTCTGAATTGCTGTACTATCCCAGCCCTGTGAACTTTTTAAGTTTTCACTTAAGAATGAACAAGCAAGACATCCTCACTGCAGGACACCAGTGAAAAGGCAAAAAAAAGTAAGCCATTTATCCACAGTCAGTAACTCTGTGCCGTGTTCGAGGTCTGTGTTCTGCAACCCTGCTACCTGTAAACTGCACTTGTCCTGCATTGACATTCACAGAACAGCAGTTATAATGAAGGTGGTAGACGAGTTGTTTGCAACCTTTCTATACCTACAGACTGGTACTTGTCTATGGGCTGGTATTTGAAGACCACAATTCTAGATGAACAATTTACCACTATCCTCTAAATCACTAATTTCACCTGAGCCGTTCAGCAATATCTCATCTAGAGTTCATTACATTTACTAATGATTTTTCTCAGATACATATATGGATTCTGCTTTGTATTATATACATCTTCCTCCCCGCACCTGCATTTTTGTTTGATTAAAATGACTGCAACATCTTCATTATCTTCAGCTCTAAACATTCTCTGTTTTATCTGGAATGGACTCACACTCTATTTGTTTACAGTGCTTGATCTCCTTTCACATGCATTCAGAGTGGTTTTATGTAACTCCTAGCACAAGCTGGTACAAGACTTCCTTAAACTCTTATATTGAGTGCAAAGCTCACCATTCTCACATTTCAAAGATGACCTGCATTTGACAGGAAGTACTCTCATTGTCCCATAGGAACCAAAAACAAGTCATTGCTTCCTGACTCCCAAGTCTATTCAGCTCAAGATTTGGCATAATGGGGGCTGGAGCGATAGCACAGCGGGTAGGGTGTTTGCCTTGCACGCAGCCAACATGGCCGACACAGGTTCGATTCTCAGCACCCCATATGGTCCCCTGAGCACCTCCAGAAGCAATTCCTGAGAGCCAGGAGTAACCCCTGAGCATCGCCGGGTGTGACCCAAAAAGCAAAAAAAAAAAAAAAAAAAAAAAAAGATTTGGTGTAATGTACTGTTTTGATTTTCTAATCCCATTTTAACTGGACAAAATGTTTATACTGTTTGTAGCACAGAGAACCAGCCGCTTGGAGCAGAAAAGCAAATGGACTATGTGTTAAACCGCGCCACCAAGCCTGCCCGGAGGGGAAAGGGTGTTTTCCCGGTGTTTTGAGATCACTCAAAACTAAGAAAAAAAGGCTATGAATTAGACATAGAGAATTGAGCCCATACTATTTCAAATGGGACAACTTAAGGGTACTCTGTAGTCCCTTAACACTGAATTGTTCCTGGGATGTGAATGAGCTTTTTAATGTAACAACATTGCATTTAAATTGTATCTTGTATTTATTTCTTTGACTAGTCTTAAACTATCCTGAAAATTTCTGGGTCTTTTCTTCATATCTTCAAAATCCAGTTCAAAATCCAGTGATTCTTGTTTATTCTTCATGCTATATATTCATGCATGATATATCCATGATATATCTCCATGATATTGGAATAGAGACGTTATATCAACATAAGAACATACAAAATTTCTCTGATTGGAAGATATATTAGATGATTACTTAAATGACAAATTACTAAGGCTTTTAAGTTGCACTTGTCACTATAAGGAAAATTCGCTCTTCCATGGAATCCACAGGGTCCTTAGACACTTTCTCAAATTCAGTCTTCCTTCCTGGATTATCTTACATTTTACCTTTATCCTCCCATCCTCTCACGTAATAGTGTCATCCTCTGATATCTTCCTGGAAACTATTTTATTTTATTTCTGTTTCGGGGCCACACCCAGAGATACCCAGGGATTACTCCTGGCTTTGCACTCAGGAATCACAACTAGCAGTACTCAGGGGGTCAGATGGAACGCTAGGGACAGAACCTGGGTTGCCTGCATGCTAGGGAAGTTCCATTCCTGCACTGCTATCTCTCCAGTCCTTCTTCCTGGAAACTAAGTTATCCTCTGTTTCCAGCTATATCCATTAACTTCAAAATCTGTATATGTACCCTAGATTTCCCCTCCATGTGAAAAATCCAGGCATCTCTGTCTTACGAGCATCCTACCCTCTCTCTTGGTAAGTGGTATCATTTAGTATGCACAGCTAGTCAGACAGAAACATAATAGTAGTACTAGCCCAAATTTTCACTCATCACCCGCATATTATCAAGTTCTAACCTTAAATTCTGCCATTTACTCCCAAACAACAAGTGTTTCTTAAACAAACCTTGCTGTTTTTTATTTTACGTTATCTTACTATTTAAACCTACTTCATAGCTAATTTGGAAGTAGGCAAATTTGTATCTGTGTGAATGTATGCACACACACTGTACTGGTCAATATGTGTGAACATCTTTAAGATTATTTAAAAAGGGAGTTCAATGTTTTTAGTTTTTCATCACTCTAACTCCCCAGTTTCTAAAGAGAAGATCACTCAAAACTAAGAAAAAAAGGCTATGAATTAGACATAGAGAATTGAGCCCATACTATTTCAAATGGGACAACTTAAGGGTACTCTGTAGTCCCTTAACACTGAATTGTTCCTGGGATGTGAATGAGCTTTTTAATGTAACAACATTGCATTTAAATTGTATCTTGTATTTATTTCTTTGACTAGTCTTAAACTATCCTGAAAATTTCTGGGTCTTTTCTTCATATCTTCAAAATCCAGTTCAAAGGCCAGAAGATAAAATGTGCCTGAGTAAATGTTAGGTGTTTTAGTCCAAAACCAAAGGAATTCTTAAACTAAATTCATACAACATCACTGTCACTGTCACTGTCCTCCCGTTGTTCATCGATTTGCTCAGGCAGGCTCAGTAACGTCTCCACTGTGAGACTTTTTGTTACTGTGTTTGGCATATCAAATACGTCACGGGCAGCTTGCCAGGCTTTGCCGTGCAAGCGAAATACTCTTGGTAGCTTGCTGGGCTCTCCGAGAGGGGCGGAGGAATCGAACCCGGATTGCCCGGGTTGGCTGCATGCAAGACAAACACCTACTCACTGTGCATTATGCTTTAAAACCAAGACATTCAAAAATAGCATTTCAATGTTCTAAAAGCAAGGCTCTAAGAACATTTTCTGCATAGGAATTAAAACAACAAATTTGAATTTCTTAGTAAGTTCAGTCTCCAAATGGGATCCAATGATGTTGTGGATTATATTTAAAACTGAAGTTCTCACACATATATTTAAACTGGAAAGCACATATATATTTAAAATGGAAAAGCTCCAAGTTGTTATGTTACCTGGTTTGTCCAAATAGACTAGGTAGTTAGAAAGGATAATCAAGAAGAAAAATACTAATCATTCATTTTAAGGGCAAAAAATGCTTTGGCAGGAAACATAATTTTTCAACAGCTGTAAACATATTCTAACTAGGAATATTCATGACATATTATCATTGCTGTCAATTTCAATATACCATGGTCAACCAACACTAAGAAATTTATAATATCAAAAACAAAGCAAGACAAATAGAAGTCACCACATGATGAAATCATGCAGTGACGTGGTCCGCTCACCACCCCTCAATCTATGGTCTTTAAACAATTACATTCAAATTGGTCTGGATCACATTTTAATAAACTGTAAATTGTATTTGATTTTATGTATTTCATTTTCCTCGAACCAATTTTTGTAACATAAATCTCGAATATTATGTATAAAAACTGAATTATATAAATAACCCAGGCAAATCTTTTCGACGCAAGAAATTTACCCAGAAGGAATCCCACATTTCACCAGCAGAGACTCTCCACTGTTACTATAAAATACCAACAGAAGTGGATGTCAGCAATTTCATGCTAAACATCTGTGTTACATTTCCATAGCAAATGCTTAACATACACGTTACAAACCATCGTAAATCAAAAGTGTTAAAGACAAAAACAAAAGCTTACAGCTCCTTTGCAGTAAAGTCGTAATTTCCCAGATGGAGTGCGGACAATCACAGACATTCTTTTGCGAGCACTGAAAGAAAGAGTTTTCAATAATGTGTCACCATACTGAGATTATGCCTCTAGATGTCTTTCAGGCTGTACACAATTTAATACGTGAAAAAAAATAAGTGTGCCTTAATTATAAGCTCTATCTTTCTGCACAAACACAAAAAACTTCTCCTGAGTGTCTGGTTGAATAACTCTGAAAGTAATAATAATTTGTTGTTAAGTTGCCAGGGATCATCTGCCGGTCTAGAGAAAAACTTTATAAACTCCTAGAAATCCCTGAATATAAATACCCACGAGGGTAGATGAGAATTTTGCTCGATTTGCTTGAGCGGGCCCAGTATTGTCTCCATGGTGACAATTGTTACTGTGTTTGGCATATCGAATACGTCATGGGTAGCTTGATGAGAATTATGGGTCAATATTTTCAGTTAAGAAAAATCATCCATATTATATTTTATAAGATATATGATGTGCTCTGAATTTTATTAAGATAATAATTGATTTTTATGTACAAAACTAATTATACATATAAGTAAACCCTAGCACTCCACAGACAGACTTAGGTTTTCAGAGTTCTTATTTTTCAGTGATTATTGAAAACCACTGCATTGCGAAAAATTGAATTCATATGACAAAGCTAGTGAGCAGAAATATTTAAAAGTTTTGGTGATACTATTTAGTAAAAATCTTTGAGTTAAACACACATATTCTAGTGCATTAGGGAATATACTGCAAATAATACTGAATTGAAAAAACTGGCTTAATGTTTCCCAAGGATAGATCCTATGGAGGAAAGTATGGTTGAGCACTCTCTCAAAATTGGAGATAGGGAGAGGATGTCTCAAGCATCAGAAGTTGTGGTACACACAGCCATCTTCAAAAATATTTTCACACTGACTCCAGGAATTATACTTTGCTATACTTCTGAGAAAGCTGTTCGTAATTTGTCTGTAGACCAACTTAAAGCTATAATTCAATGACAATCGAAAACTATAATTATAACTAAAGATAATAATGCAAATTTTTGTTCAAATGAACTCAAATAGAAACAAAATCTACTTTCCAGGCTTTTAAAAGGGGAAAAAATAAAAATGATAGAAATCTTATACACACAAATAACTGAGCCTTACCTGGTGAACTCTAGTACATTGAGTAATTCATAGTGTTCTTCCTGCCCCAGCTACAATGAAAAGGAAGAAATGATCACATGAAGCTGAAAGCAGGTTTGGCTTCTTGGAAATAAACATTAGCATGAAGTTTGAATAACATCTTTAAAAAGTCAACATAAACAAATAAGTTTCTTCTAAGAGAAATTATCTTTAATTGAACTTACTAACTTTTAGGGTAAGATGGAAGACTGAATATCCACATTTAATTTTCAACCTTCCCCAAATACCAAACTACATTAAATGCTAAAATACAAACAACCAAAAGGTCCTATGCCAACACTTGGGGTGCCGGGGCTCAAAGGTCTCAGCCCTTTGAACTATCTGCTCAACCTGGTAATAGAACAAAATTGTACAGTGTTCTATACTTTTTGGAAGTACTACAGCATTGGTCACTACGTACTTTTTAATAAAACTCACGACACCAATAAATTATTGTCTTAAATTATAAGATGAGGCTGGAGAGATAGTACAGTGGCAAGGCGCTTGCCTTGCACAAGGTCAACCCAGTTTTGTTACGAGGCTCCACATGTTGTTCCCCAAGCACAGCCAGTAGTGCTCCCAGAGCACAGTCAGATGTGGTCCAAAATTGAAAATAAAGTAAAAAAGATTGCCTGCAACAACTTTTTTGTCTTCATGATTTATTTTTATAGCCTGTGTGTATTCTTTGGTGCCACTAGAGGAGACAAGCCTTAAGTAATAAGTTCTTGTGAAAGACCTGATATAGTTTATCATAGCTCTCATAGGCAAGGGAGCCAGGTCTTTATCTTTTGAATGTTGTTCCTTTTCTCCTAAGTGCAGGAGAGATAAATCTTCATAACAGTACAGACAGTCAGTAGATGCAGATCTAAAATGGAAGAATCCACACACATAACAAAATTTCATGCTTTGGAAGATCTGATGATGTATATACATGCTTGAAGAAATGGCTGAAAGCATGGAAAGTGGTCACTTTTGGAGAGAAGGACTAGAAAATGAAAATTCTACTTTGTTATGAGTTTGGGGGCAGCGTTTTTAGTTTAAGTCTATGCACATATATTGCTTTGATGAAACAGAAATTCATAACGAGAAATAACTTACTGAATCTATAATCACGGAGTCAGGGGTTCTTCCAGTGAAAACAAAATTCAATTGCTTGGCTGCTCTGACCAATGCTCCCTCATCTGTTTAGAAAAAACACAAAAGTAAATTATGCAGGGGGCGAGGATGGTCCCAAATACAAGAGAAACACATTCCTCACACTTTGTTTTCTGTTTAATGCTAAAAAAAGCTGCAAAGTTTTATGGTTTTTGTTTTTTCTTGGCGCATGTTATTGAACTGCTTCTTGAAATAAGATGACAAGCCACAGTTAATGAGTAGAATATGCTTATCAATCTGAGTCATGTGTAGATCCCTGGGTTACACTATCAAAAATTAAGTTGAATGTTAGCCATATACACCCGAGAAGTGTAATTTAAGTGCAACCTTTGTTCCAGCATATTTTCTGAGAAATCTTTCTTAAAACAAAAGGCCTTAACTTTCATGCCTTTCCTCCTAATACAGAATGCAGAAAAGCTATTGATTACATTCAAAATGAAGTGAAAATCAATTCTTAATTTTATACATTTACTTCCTTCTATGCTATTGCAAACCTTCCTGATGATGAAGACAGGGTTTGGGACAGGACAACATTCACAAAGTTTCTACGCCAACTACATGATGTAATATTGCTTTTCTTCTTTTGTACTACTTCGGATTGAACCCGGGGTCACAGGCAAAGCATGTGGCTCTACCACTGAGTCCCACACCCTCCCAGAGATGTAACATATCTTACGCTTTTTAGGAATTCGGTGCATTTTCTAGGAACAAACACACATGTTGAGTAAGAATGTTATTTGAAACACTTATAACAAAGATCTCCAAAGCGTTTCTCCTTTCCTAAAATCTTCTCCCAGCAGAATTCCCTCAAATGTACATAATTCCTCCTCCAAATAAATAGCTTCCTGATTATCATTTCCAAAAGTGGAAAGCAACATTAGTATTCTAAAATGCATCCTATTCAAGCAAATGAATCTTCCTTTTCCTGTCTTTGCTCATATTAAAAAATCAGCTTATGAGTAGTAATTCATTTTTAGAACTTATAAAGGGAGAACTTACTCTCTGCATATAGAATACTATCCTATTTTATCACTTGTGTGAATCCAACTTGAATTTCCAAGTAATTTACATAAAAATGAAATATTAATTAAATAAACATTTATAATTTTAATGTATCTAGTTCTGAAATTCAAGGCTTTTCTAATTAGTAAATCTGTTTCTTGTTGTTTTTGAACCACATTTGTGCTCAGGGACTATTCTTGGATTGGGGGGGGGGTCTCTCCCTGGATGGGCTTGACAGAATAGTATATGGTGCCAGAGATCTTATCCAGAGCCACATACAAAAAAATTTTTTTTGTTTAATATCCAAATGTTATTCAGGAATAAAGAAATCATGGCATATATGCACAATGAATACTAAGAATCTGTAAGAAAAGGTAAAATCCTGCAATGTACTGGCATGTGGAAGGAACTAGAGGGCATCTTGCTAAGTCAACTCATTCGAAAGGAGAGCAACAAACAAGATGATTTCTCGCATAAGTGGAATATAAAGAAACACAGTAATGGAATAACAAGGGGCCAAAGGTAACAAATCTGAGAATCAGCTTGCCTAACTGAACCAGCCAAAGGGTAGGTAGATCTGTTGTATGGGGGAAGCTTGAAACACTGGTGGAAGGACCCTGATACTCTGGAAGTGAATGTGGAACCACAACACCTTAGGCCTGAAACTGCTCTTAACAGTATTGAAAATCACGGTGCAGAAACAAAAGTTGGAAAAAAAAAAACTTGATTATTTAGCTTTTTTGAATTAAAATTGTTTTTGTGAGAGAATCCCAAATGTCAGAACAATTTTCCATTGGTTAGTACTTCACAAAAGCTTAACTGACCTGGAGATGCTGCTTGATAAATGATCTTGTCCCCTTCTCGTTCTGGTACAGCTGTGTGACAAACTGCCATCATTGTAAGAAATTCACATATTATAGGTGCGGTGGGCTGCAAGAAAGAAACACACTGTTTGGTCCTCTCCTTTGAGCATTTTGACACTAATGAGAGTAATTTCACTACTTTTTCCCTCTTAAGATCACAGGTAAGGGCTGGAGAGATAGTACAACAGGTAGGGCATTTGCATTGCACAGGATGACCTGGTTCGAATCCATATGGTTCCCTGGACAGAGTCAGGAATGATTCTTGAACAGAGAGACAGAGAAACCCCTGAACATTGCTGGGTGTGGTCCAAAGACCAAAAGAAAGAGGGGGAAAAAAAGTGAAGGTGTTATGCACTGAGGAGGGGCGGTGGGTTGTGTGGGTCCCCTAAATTTTAGGGGAATGACTATGGCAATAATAGTTGGAAATTATCTCTCTGGATAAAAACTACGTGCTGAAAGTAGGTAAAAGAACAAACATGATAAACGCTCAGTACCTATATTGCAAACCATAATGTCCAAAAGGGTAGGGGGAGGGAGAGAGACAGAGAGAGAGAGAGAGAAAGAGAGACAGAGACAGAGAGAGACAGAGAGAGAGGGGGCGGGGCAGGCTGTTGGGAAGGGGTTGGCAGAAAGGATACTGGGATCATTGGTGGTGGGAAATGTACACTGGTGGAGGGATGGGTGTTGGAACATTATGTGACTGAAAATTGATCATGAACAGCATTGTAATAGTGTATCTCATGGTGACTCAATTTAAAAAATAAGAGGAGAATGACTATAAACTCAAGTATTGCCACTGTTAGAATAACCTAAAAGCTGGAGTTTTGTGGGTTAAAATCCATCTGGCCCAAGTCTTCTAAATTAGATTCTCACGGGCTGTCTGTGAACTCCCTTTATGGAAAGATAACGTCACTTGGTGTTCACAGCTCCGAAAGATCTTGCACACATAATGGGATTTTGACCAAGCTTCCAGCCATGTACTCGGAATAAACCTTGCTAGAAGAAACTCACTTCTAATCTTAATGATATTCTTTGTTCTTAGCTAATCTACAAAGTCCAGTTCTCCCTTTCCTAGGGGTTCAGAAGGCTCTTGATTCTCAGCCTCTGTGTTGATTGCAGAAATCAAACTTATTTTACATCTTTTCTCTGCATTATTATTTCAATCTCTGTGTTTCACCTCTTACGTGTTCGTTCCAGTGATTATGAGAAAAAAAATCTGGGATTTGAACACAAGAAGACCTATCACTTGATCTCATGGGATTTTAATAAGAGGTGGAAATTTCTTAAGCAGAGTATAGTCACTGGGTGGCAGCTGAAGTTATATAGACTTTGCACTGCCTAGAATTTTGAACTGTCTGTTCATTTCTACAGATATTCTGAAGTTGTGAGTCATTACATACAAAGCTTTAGAATTACTATTAATTTTCATTTTTATGAAATATTTTGAAGGGATGGAATTATTATTTGAAAACTAAATTTCTAACAATTTTGAGTTTATACTGTAGCAGTGTCCTCCCGTTGTTCATCAATTTGCTCGAGCAGGCCCAGTAACGTCTCCATTATGAGACTTGTTACTATGTTTGGTATATCAAATACGTCACGGGTAGCTTGACAGGCTTTGCCGTGCAGGTGAGATATTCTCGGTAGCTTACCTGGCTCCCTGAGAGGGGAAGAGAAATCGAACTCGAGTTTATACTGACCAAATAATAATGTTTTAGAGTTCCTGAAGATTAATAATTAAAACTGATCATGAAACTTTTAAAATGAATAATATGGAGACTATAATACAGAGAAATGAAATTTTATTCTAAAAGGAAAGATAGTGATTTTATGTCACTTACATGATTATTTTGGAGGTTTTCCAACAATGATGAATCACTAAATGTTCTTTCATCTCCAAACTGTGAGTTCTGCCTAAAGGAGTAGAAAGGAAGAAAATTCATTTACACAAAACTACTAATTTATTTGTAACTAGTTTTAAAAATAAATGATCATGCCTGTAAATTCTTTTAGATTAATATTAATTGATTTTAACTGCATTTCTAAAAAAGACAACACAGATTTCATAGCTAAATCATAAAGTATATTCAAACACCCTAAAATAAGACAGACTTTCATGATACAATGAAAAAATTCTTATTTTATAGTTACGGGAATATAAACCTATATTATAGTCACATGACATTTCAAAAAAATTAAAAGAATGCAACAGGTTTGTTCAAAAGTCCTAGAATTAAAATTCTTCTACCTCTATTTCTCCTCTGAATTTAAAATTTTTAAAAATAAATAGAAATTATACAAATACTTTTTTACTTTACCTATGAGGAAATCTCAATGTATTAACAAGTGCTGTATAATTATTATATGAAATATAAAAGCATAGAGTATAAATTTATGCAAATCACTAACAACTATGTTTGCCTTGTATATATGAGAACAACTCAAAGATAGGTGAGATTTTTTTGTACTGAGGTTATTTTCAGATTTGCGAATATTATTCACTACATATGAATCAAATAGAGTCAGAATTGCTTCTACAATCTACCTATGATCAATTCTGCGACCATTCAGTTTAAAATCAAAATGCTGAGATTCTGAGGAAGAACACACAACACTGAAGCAAAAATATCAAGCACACAGTGGACAATTTCAATGAGATTATCATCAGTAGGAAAAAAGACATCGAATCTTTCATGCATAAATAAAATTTCACGATGAATTCATTGAGAAAAAAATAAGTTCTGTAGCAAATAACTAAAATTCACAAAATTTTTACCCACAATTTTTACAGGTAAGAGTGTATCGATATCAATAATTTAAACCTCAAATTTCAGTTTTTAAAATAGTCACTTAAAAATAAGGGGGAAAACACTGAAAAAATTGCCTATAAACTGATAAAGAAGGTTAGAATGTTTATGGTAAATATATTTTTATTAACATAGGATAGTTAGGGCTACTACTTTTCAAAATAATTATACACTGCGCATTTATTAGGATATAGGGGGTAAAATTATTTTTAAAAAATCCCCAGGAACCAGAGTAAAAACATCATCATCATCACCACCATTCCTTTTTCTTCCTTTTTCTCTCACCCCTTATCTAGTTGGTGAGAAAGTTCAGGAGTTTGAAATGGTCAAACAGAAGAAATCAGCATGTTCTTCCTCTAAGTATTGCAAATTCCTAAAAAATTTCATCTCGGTGGAAAGCTCAATAAAATTTCCTTACTGTTAATATATTCACTAATTATATTTTCATGAGTTAATACATTTTATTAGATAAATAGAAACATCAAGGAAAGTCATAATACATTTTACATGTAGAGGACCATATTCTTTCTAATGAACTTCCCACTAAAAGCTTTTAAACATCTGACGATAAGTTATTAATCTCACCAGTAATTTTTTCATTGCACAAATTATATTTACTATAATTGATATCTTTCAAATGCACTATAATTAAGGATGGTTTGCCTGGATACAGTCACCTGTCAATGGAGGTTTCTACCAAGGGGAATTCTTCTCCCAAAAAGCATGAAACAAAAGACAACAAACAAAACATAACTCTCACTCTCCCTGGAATGTTATGAAATATGCACTTTATTTTTTTTGTTTGGGGGCATCACCCAGCAGTGTCCAAGGCTTACTCTTGGCCCTGTGCTCAGGGATCTCTTCTTACAGGCTTGGGGGACCATATGTGGTGCTGGGCATCGAATCCAGGTCAGTTATGTGTGAAGCAAGTGCCATACCCCCTGTTATATCTCTCTGCCCCATAAAATGTTTACTTTTAAAATAAAAGTGAATAGAATTAGGCAGCTCATGTCATTGTCCTGCATAAAAGGCAAGATAATGGTTTCAATTCTCAGATGACAAAAGGATACCCATTTGCCAAATGCTTATACAAAATGCAAGCCAGCACCAACAGCCTGCTAATATTTTTCACAGATGCTTTGTAAAAGAATTAAAACCAAAAAACAACAGTAAAGTGGAGAGTTAATGTCAGCAGGCCTATAAATCACAAATGTTGTGCGATTTTTTTTCTGTAAGCTCATTTAAAAACTGATACATTAAAAAGAGTAATTTCCAGATAACACCAAAGGAAAATTCACCATAGCAAAAATAGAGAAAATTCAGAAAGCATATGGTTAAATCCATATTAGCAATTTTCCTGTATGACATATGGACTATATAGACCATTTAAAGTACACATGTGAAGGCAACGCAGTGTCACCATTAAAAAAAGCAAGAATTTTTGTCTCTATTTAAGTAACATAGTTATTATTGTGTTCATGATAATGCTTTGGCTATAACCTAACTGCACCTCTACACTGACCATGATGTCACTTCTCAGCCTCCCCCATCTGTTAGCCTCTACCCCCTTTTCCTCCTAGTGGCGGTGCTGGGAACTGAATCCATCTATTTCTGTTTTTGAATGGTACTACTGGTTCCAAATCAACACTCTTGAAAAGAATATTTAATTCTTGGAAGGGGAATGGGGGAAAGAGTTGCTCTTGGAATCTGCTCCAGTCAAGTCCAGGAATAGGAATATGTGATTTTATTCAATAGGATTGCTGTTTGACACTATTTGTGACCAAAGGAATGTGAACTGCTTTCAGTATAGATCAGTTTCTGAAGACAATTACAAAAGAGGAGCTGTGAAAACACTGTGAAATGGCTGCCTGGCTGCAGTAAGTTACCAGAAAACTAACACTAATTTGGATGTGTTGGATCTCATTATTATACAGTCATACCTGGAATACTGTTAAGTGATCTTTGCTGTTGCAGCAGAATAAATAAATGCTGTTCACTTCAGAGAGGACTATAGATCAAAACAATATGAGAAAATGAAAGTGGGCAGAAAATACTCCAGTGACACTGTGACATTAAAAGTCAGAGTAAAGTGACTTAAGTAGAGGACACATTAAGGTAATTCCCCCTAGAGAATTGAAAGGTAACTAGCATCTGAAGGGAAAAAAACAAATGATGAGATCGAATAGATCTTATATTCAGATACATAATACAGAACTATATAAGTAGTTAACAAAAAAATGTTATTGCATCATAGTAGCACAGCCGTAGGGCATTTGCCTTACAAGCGGCCCACCTGAGTTCGATTCCTCCGCCCCTCTCGGAGAGCCCGGCAAGCTACCGAGAGTATCTTGCCCGCACGGCAAAGCCTGACAAGCTACCAGTGACGTATTCAGTATGCCAAACACAGTAACAAGTCTCAAAATGGAGATGTTATGGGGCCCGCTCAAGCAAAATCGATGAACAATGGGAGAACAGTGTTTGTTTGTAATAGTGGGGAAAAGGTGTATAGATGAACTGAGGTTGTTTGAGTTAAATATTATTTATGCATGTGGATGGATAAATTTACTTTTACTTATATTTGTAAGTTCCCATGATTATCATTAGAAAAAGAAGAAAAGTAGTCATGAAAAAGTTGTTTTGGAAAATAACAGAAATGTGGAGAATAAACAGATTTCCCCTGCCCTCTCCTCTGCAATCCTCAATCTCTCATATCTGAGACAACGGTAGATTTTTATTTTATTTGCTTTGGAAGCACCAGCATCTGCTGGTGCTCAGGGGTTACTCCTGGCTCTGCACTCAAAAATCACTCCTGGTGAGCTAAGAGGACCATATGGGATGCTGGGGTTTGAACCTGGGCTGACCCCATTAGAGGCGAGATCCTTGCCCGCTATACTACCTCTCTGGCCACACCGATAGATTTCTAACAGAAAACGAGTAAACTATATGTCATGTTAGGTAACTATATATATTAGCTGATAGAACTTGCCAGTAACAAGATAACTATACCAGTTGGGAAGTAAGTAGCTACTGGCCGGGAAAAGACTTTTATCTCTATAAAGTATTTATGTGGCCATACATGGGAACAGGATTCAGACATCATCCAATTATCTTTAATGTCAAGAGAGAGTATGAGAAAGGCTGAGTAGGCTGCCTTTAGATCTGAGTAAGCGTAAATGTGCAGAATTATCAACATACGTTGAAATGTTAAATACTTCTGTGTGTTGTGACAGTGTGTGGTGCATATGAGCAAATAGGGAAGTAAAATTCCTCTGGGTCACAGGTTGTACACCTGAAATTCAATACAAATCACATGGAAAAGTGGCCCTTCTGCAGACAGAGAGGAAAGCCCTTTCGGGTTTTGCTTTTCACTGCATTTTACTTCACTCCACAAGACCAGCAGCATAAAGATGTCATGAAGGACCTGGAGCCCAGGAGTCACCCAGGACCACACTTTTGAACTTGCCTTCATTGGTAACATGAAACCAATTGGAAGTGGCAGTTCACATCACTAAATTGTCTCTTTCCAGTTCATCTCTCCTCCCCATGCTACCTGTCCTAAGTCAGTTAGCAGCACTTAACACCTTCAGGAAGCAAGAAATGAAGACAAAAATGACTTTAATATTGTAAGGAAGTCTCGCATTCTAAAAGCAGGGATTCTTTACCGCTCATAAAAAATCTCAATAGAGGGGCTAGAGCAACAGTACAGCTGGGAGGGCATTTGCCTTGTACCATGGGTTCAATCCCTGGCATCATATATTGTCCCCCAGCATCAACAAGAATAATTCCTGAGTGCAGAGTCAGGAGTAATTAACCCTTGAGCATCACTGGATTTGACCTCTCCATAAAATGTACCAAGTAACCAGCACCTACTTTCTAATGAGGCCAAGTGAGGTTTTAACTTGGGCTCCCATGTTTACTGGCTGTATATTTTAAGGCCAGTTACTTATTAGTTCCTTTGTATACAATTTATCAACTTTAAAAATGATCATCTTCTCAAATATGTTGTCAGCAGTAGGTGAGACACCAGAGCTATGGCCCTACATGAGCTATTATGTCCAGATGTTACTCTTAGCGCTTCAAAAAAACACAACTCAATCATGTCGTGTGAAATGAGTTAGAAGGAGAGGGACATATATAAAATGACTGCATTCATTTGTGGGATATATGTATACAAATATATATACATACATACATATAGTATGAGACTAATATCCAAGGTGAGCGTAAACAGAGGCCAGCAGGACAGGTCATTGGTTGGAAGCTTGCCACAACCCTGTGAGGTGAAGTACACAGGTAAAGGGATGTAACTGATAACCTTTCATTAACTGTATTGCAAACTATAAGGCCCAAAAGGAGAGAGAGAGAAAGACAGAGAGAGAGAGAGAGAGAGAGAGAGAGAGAGAGAGAGAGAGAGAAGTGCCTACCATAGTGGCAGGCAGTGGAATTGTGTGGAGGAGGGACAGGAGAGAAACTGGGACCATTGGTGGTAGGAAAAGAACACTGGTGAAGGGACAGGTGTTGGAACATTATATGACTGAAATCCAATCATAAACAACTTTGTAAATGTGTATATCATTGCGATTCAATTGTCACTGTCACTGTCCACCCATTGTTCATTGATTTGCTCAAGCAGGCCCAATAACGTCTCCATTGTGACACTTGTTACTGTGTTTGGCATATCAAATACATCAGGGGTAGCTTGCCAGGCTTTGCTGTGTGGGTGAGATACTCTCGGTAGCTTGCCGGGCTCTCTGAGAGGGCAGAGGGATGGATCAACCCGGCTCGGCCAGTTCAGCCGCGTGCAAGGCAATCGCTCTACCTGCTGTGCTATGGCTCCAACCCTGTGATTCAATTAAAGAGAAATAAATGTGAGGGAAAAAATAACATTAAAAAAAACTCAATTAATCTTCACAATTTCCTTATGCTGCTTCTACCAGATAAGGATATGCAAGCAGAAAGTAAGTGGCTTAAGGATACCAGCAGGATCAGAATGGTGTACTCATGTGGTCAGAATCCAAAGTATATTCTTGATGATGCATGAGACCCAGGCTATAAAAGATAGGGAAACAACTGTTTCTTCATCTTTTGCAAGACTAAAGCCAGTTACTGAATAAAAGGGGTATTTACATAGATATTTAAAATAAGGCTCATTTTATTATGAATGTTGAAAAAGCTTTCTCTGGTATATAATTTAAAGAATTATTTGGTTCAATTGTCTGAGTGCATAGTTTTACATGCAGTTGGCTGTTTTTAATCTGTGGCACTGCCTGGTTTCCTGAGCACCATCATTAGTTACCCCTGGACACTAAGGCAGGAAAAGGCCCCAAGAATTGCTGGGTGTGTCACCAAAATAAACAAAAAACCCACTAATATCTAAATCCATATGTAACTTCAAGAACAACTATACACTTTATTTAAAAAGTGGGGAAGGGGGCATCTGCTCTTTGTTACTTAGTCTAGAATATCAAATAATGAGAATTTCCAAGAGGGTGTTTTATTAAAAGAAAAACAGATAAAAGAATCTTCTCTCTTTTATACAGAAAAGTCAAGAGGTAGTTTATATTAAAAGACATCTTAAATGACCTGAGTAAGTGAACAAGTTTTAACATTTTCATCTAAACTTAATTAAAATGGGATGAACAGAGTTTCCTTCTCATATATAAAGAAGACTTCTTAGGAAAATTTCTATTAGTTCCATAGTGCTGTGTTAATCTCAAAATTAGCAGAATCTTGACTATGTTATAGAAAAACAACAAATAAAAATAAAGTCAAAACTTTGACTACATTCATTCTCAAAGGAATATGTAAAAAGGTATCTCTACACTATCAAATTTGAATTATCCACCTACCTCAGATGCTTTAGGACATTAAAAAATCCTTAACATTCTTCAGTAGTGTGTGGGTGTCACAAACTCTGACACTCCAGGCCATTAGCTTAAGTGTGATGACTCATCAGTGTCACAGGAACCAAACAATTCAGTTATTCACCTCAGGCTGCAAGGCTGACTGCAAATAGTTACCAAAGCCCTCCTCAACTAAAATAAATTCCACTTGGAAAGTCTTAAATATCATTGAACATCCATATATATTGTAAATATAGTTTATTTCATAAATCACATGTGCAACCTAAAAACCAAAAGTGACCACTTAAATGCTACAATATTTTCTGCTATTAATCAGCATTAAAGAAATATGTTTTCTGAAACTGGATTTGCCACCAAATTAAGATGAACTATTAAAAAAACCCACAAAAATAAGCTTGAACCTCTCTAATTTCTCTTAGTGCACATTTCTGGAAGGGTATTTTAAGATAAAACAAACCAAATTCCCCAAAGCACCCAAATTGAAATTACGAAATGCCTTCTTTAATAATTCTAAAATTAATTAAGGGTCAGTTAATTTTAATCATTGGCAGTAACTCTTCAAACATTCTCTCCCAGACACTTCATTTCCTAACCTTTAAACAGAACCAGTAAATTAATAAAACCTTCAGGGTTAGAACATGGTTCTTTTTGAAGCTCTGCAAAGTATGGCAAGATAGCCAGCAGGTGGCAGTGCGGAGTTGAAAGCCCAGGACCGCGTCTGAAGCTAGCGCTGAAATCCCTGGCAGCCCATGGTCAAGGACTCACGTGCTCCACCCTGGACTTCACTACAGACACGCAACGGAAGCCTCGAGCAAGCTGAGACTTTAATCCCAATGTTTATAAAACGACCAGCAGCTTTTCAACAGGAAATCATAGGCAATAAACGGATGTTAAGCAAGACCTATTTTATACCAGTGTTACTCTCCCTGATTGGTAACGCCTGTCTCTAAAGTAGTGAATGTAAATCAAGCAAAATGAAACCAATAAAGTGCAAAACATTGAAAGGAACCAAGGAGACAGAAGGTGCATGCAGCTTACCATTCGTCAGGAGAGCAAGCATAATCCTCGGGCTCTGGGACATGGCTTCAGAAGCAAGAGAAGGGGCAGAAATAAGCATTCACAGGGAGGCTGGGAACTTAAAATCATGAAGAAGGGAAGTACTCAAAGATGGATTTTGAAAAGTTAAGAAAATGATCTTTTAGTTGATTCTGAAAGAATGGCAGTTAGTATAGTAAGTAGAACATGATGATTGACAGCAACTAAAAAGGCTTACAAAAGTCATTCAATAACAGGATAACCAATTTTTCACATTCAAAAAATCAGTTTTCAGTAGGAAATATTTAAACTTAGACTTAAATACATGCTTAAAGCTGACAAAATCATTTATTGTATCATCAAAATAAAGTTTTTAGTTTTATAGCTGACAGAAAATTATTTATTGTATCATCAGAATAAAGTGCTTTAGTGATATAGCTGACAGGAAATTATATATTGTAACATGAGAATAAAGTGCTCTAGAAAAAAAAAAGATGCTAATACCTAGAATAAACTATCCGTGGTAAAATTTGCTCACTTTAGAAGGGATGGATCTTTAGACAGGTTTATTAAACTAAAAGCTACTTACAATTCTACAATTTAAAAGTAAACTGATTTTTAAAAACTTAACTTAGGCAACAATTCACTTACTAAGCCATTTACCATCTCAAACAGGAGACATGGTGACCAATAAACACTTTATAGCTCATCTGAGCACTAGGAAAGTTTGATTTAAGTATTATTTTCATTTCAACATTCTGTATACAGCATGAGGGGCTCATAACAAATGAATGAGCAGATTTTCTTTCATTTAGACTTTTTTTCCAAAAATTTTAAATTGTTCGAGCTTTATTAGTATTAACTGACATAAACATCAGATTCCAACTTTGTTATACCTGACTAGTCAACATTTTTTTCTTAGATTAATTAGATTAATTAGATGTAAGCAATATACCAAAAAAAATGCAGAATTCTGGACAAATGCAAAATAAAAACTGTTATTTTGGACAAATATACCATAAATGGCTTTGAAGTCTTCTGAGGTCCTTCTCTTCCTTTAGTGTCCATCTGCTCTTCACTTCTACCGTACTGGCCATGACATGGGGCCTCATTTCAAAGCACCTCTTTTCAAGTCTACAGCACTGAGCTGCCCCCAAGTTAACACCCATGACTTCTCTTAAATCACAATGGCGGGGTACCCACTGTACACCATACTTTCTGCCTCTGAACTCTCTGCCAAGGTTCTAACAGCTACTCCTGTGGTGGAGAGCAGTTCCAGGTCTCACCCCAGGAGACAGGCCTGGAGTCCTGCAGCTTAAAATCCACAGTGCTCAGGCTCCGTAGGTCTGGTCCAGCCCTGGCAGAGTCTGAACACTATTACTGATGCTGATCATAAGATATTCCACAGCTCCTTACTGATCCTGTCTGTGAGAACTCTCCTGAGATAGCTGCTCAAGCAGCTCTGGTATAGATACACACTCTTTAATTACTTGTCTTTGCATGTCAGAATGTTTAAGTCCGCTGGCCAATGCTTCACTCAACCCAAATCCCCTTTAGATCTCAATTTCACACATTCCTTTTCTCAGGGAGTAGCCCCTCACCTATCTGATTTTTTTGAGGGCTGGAGTGTATTAAGTCAGATCTGGCTCACTGGCTCATTCTAACAGTATCTAAATTATTGACAATGCTGTTACCTAGGTTCATAGCCCACAATACACATTGTTTTTAGAATCTAGCCATAGAACATAAAGCTTGTTATTTATCGCTGGAGTTCAGATAACTGATAAAACTGACTTATTCTCTAGAAAACAATTTTGTTGAAAGGTTACCAAAAAAATTATAAGATCTTAAGATCTTAGAATGTGGCTCAAGTGATGGAAGATGTACATGAGGTCTTGAGTTTGATTCCAGAACCAAATTCCCCCACTCTGAGAACTACCAGCAGAGTAACCCTGGCCTCCCAAACACTGCTGTGTATGTCTTCGATAATTGACAGAAAGTCTAATGAAACCATCTAATAATAAGTTTAAGCACAAGAGCCTCTCAGATGAAACTGATCTCTACAAAATAATCATCACAATTGAAAGTGCGTATAAATCTTCTTCTGTTACCCATCATATCCAATTTGGACTTAATGAGATAAAATCCACAAAGACAAAAACTTGAAGCACTGTTTTAAGTGCGAATTAAATATCATCTTATAAAACTATGGAATACACAGAAACAAGCAAAGGTAATACTAGCAAGAGATATAAAGAGTCTTGTCCTTCAAACTGATCCAACGCAAGCAGAACTGACCTTGACTCACCTAGGATAAAATTAAGCCTTTATCTTACTTCTTAAAACTGCCCTGAAATGCATACTTCAAAGGCATTTGTTCACATATGAAAGTTTGAATTATTCTCTGTTATTTCCCCGACACCACATATGGTTAGTCTCCCGAGCTCACCAGTAGTGATCCCAGAGAGCAGAGCCAGGAGGAAGTCCTGGGCACAGCCGATGTGTCCCCCTCACCTCCACTCGAAACCAAAATAAGTAAATAATCTGAAGAAATTGCTTATCCAATTAGGAAGTAGACCAAGTAAATAAAAAATGACAATGCTCACTCACTCAGATTGCTCTAAAAGTAATCTTTAGGAAGGAACATGGTATTGGAGTAAAAAAACAAACATCACTAGAACTCTGTCAGCAAGTGTAATGCTACACACTGGAACCAGAGACAATTCTGGGATAATGATGGGCTAAATAAATAAGGACGAGATGTTAAAAAAAAAGTCTGGCTGTACCATTCCTGCTCTAGGTGCTGACCAAACTCCATGACTAAGGCAATTTGGCAGCATGTGTGGGGTGACTGTGTGGGAAGATCAGGGGAGAGGAGAGTGGGAAAGGGAGCCTCTTCTGACTGAGGGATTTTCTTTCTTTTTTTTTTTGGCTCACACCTTGCAATGCACAGGGGTTACTCCTGGTTCACACACTCAGGGGACCATATGGGATGTTGGGAATCGAACCCGGGTGCCACGTGCAAGGCAAACACCCTATCCGCTGTGCTATCGCTCCAGCCCTGGGACTTTCTGATAGGAAAAAAAAAAAAAGATGCTAAATGGCACAAGTCCTTGAAACAGTTAGACTGTGCTTAAATGAACAGTCTTTCTTCACAGAATGAAAAACCCACTCAATCAGATCTCTTTAGCAGCATTTACACATTCTAACTATACGTTTTTGGCAAACCCTGTGAAAAAAGTAAACAAATACTTTCAGACAATTTTTACTTTTTTACTAAAATTCAACAGACTTTGTTTTATGCTAGTTACTCTTAGAAGAGAGAGTGTAAATGGTAAAGATTAGGTTAAAAAAAAAACAAAGCAAATAATTGCCCTTGCTTATATGATTAGGATATTTATAGTGACCATTCTCACTTACAGATAAAGATGGATTAAAAAGTTCAAAAACAGCCACTATCAATTTAGATCACATCTTCTTTCAGAAATGGAAATACTGATTTTCTCCTAGTACTCTATAAAAAATGTCAAAAATAAGGCTTGTAAATAGTTTTAAGTACATATACCTGAAATAAATGGGTATTCAATAAGCATTTTTTTGCAGTGGGATTGAACTGCAAAAATTAAAAAAAAAATCAGGGTCTTCCATATATATATAGCAAGCACTCTACCTATGAATCACATCCTGATCATCAATAAGAATAGTTTAAGTAAATTACAGGATAGCATTTTAAAAAAATATTGAATAAGAGAAAAAAGAAATCTGATAAAGTTTTTTTCCCCCATCCCTTCATTTTTGGGCCACATTCATCAGTGCTCAGGGATTAATCCTGGTTCTATGGTAGAGATCTGGTCAGCCACTTGCAAGCAAGTGCCTTACTATCTCTCAGACCCCTGTTAAGTTTCTGATGACATTTATTAACTACCAGAAGTAAGAATTTTGTGTCCTCACTTCCCTGCCATCATCAGAAATTGAGACTGCAGAGAGGACATATGATAAAAGGAAAAGAAAAACAAAAACAAAAACAAAAATATCAAGGAAATAACATATAAATTTTCTGTTTGTTTTTGTTTTTATGGGCAATAGTTAGTGGTGCCCAGGGATTTTGTCAGGGATCACTCCTGGGAGGGTCAGGGGACCATATGAGGTGCTGGGGATCAAACCTGGCTACTACCATTTACAGTAATACAGAAGGAGGCATATTTAAACCTCATTAAAGAGCTTTTGCCAATAATCAACATTCAAGCAGTACTGGGCAGAGCATCCCTCTTCCTCCCGCCCACCCTCTGCCTCTGCCCCCCCCCCACACACCATAGGGTGGTAAAAAACAATTTCAAGTGATAAAAGAAAACCAACATGCACATATACTGAATTTAGGACTGTTGCTTTCTAAATGAAAACAAAATAAACTTTCCTAGTAAGAATTCCCCAAATGTACCAAATCAATTTGCACTAATCGAATGTGTATTCTAATGAAAGGCAAAACACTCACCCATAAGCAACCCCGGCGATGGTGCACTTCTTAAATTGCATCACATTGCATGTCAGAGTACCAGTTTTGTCAGAAAATATGTATTTTACCTAAAAGTGGTTTAAAAAGTTAAAGTTTCAAAAATTCTTCTACTTTTATAATATGCTATCATTAATTTCAGAATATGTTACAAAGGCTTGAAATTGTACCTTTTATTCTGTTACACTGCAGGGGCAAAATGAATATTATTATTTTTCATATTCAGTAACATGCACTTTTAAAAAACTTCAGCAATTAATATTTTCATATATAAACACTATGAAGACTTCTGAGATAACACAAACATGAGAACTATAAAAATGTATTTCTACTTGGTCAGAATTCCAGGAGACTGGAGGGCTTGGGGGAACACAGATGGTGCTGAGGGTTGAACTCAAGCCAGTTTCATGCTAGATAAGCGCCCTACCCATTATTATCTCTCTGGCCCCATAGCTCTCAAATTTTCAGCTTGCCGGGCTGGAGCAATAATGCAGCGGGTAGGGTGTTTGCCTTGCATGTAGCCGACCCAGGTTCGATTCTTCTGCCCCTCTTGGAGAGCCGGGCAAGCTACCAAGAGTATCTTGCTTGTACAGCAAAGCCTGGCAAGCTACTCGTGATGTATTCAATATGCCCAAAACAACAAGTCTCACAATTTGTTGTGAGATGTTACTGGTGCCCGCTTGAGCAAATCAATGACGGACGGGAGGACAGTGCTACAGTGCTACTTTATTATCATATATGTATGAATTTGCTCGAGCGGGCCCAGTAACGTCTCCATTGGAGACTTTGTTGTTACTGTGTCTGGCATATCGAATACGTCACGGGGAGCTTGCTGGAGCGATAGCACAGCGGGTAGGGCGTTCGCCTTACAAGCGGCCAACATGGCCGACCCGCGTTCAATTCCTCCGCCCCTCTCGGAGAGCCCGGCAAGCTACCAAGAGTATTCGATATGCCAGACACAGTAACAACAAAGTCTCCAATGGAGACGTTACTGGGCCCGCTCGAGCAAATCGACGATCAACGGGAGGGCCTTTACCTTTATATGTATGAATTATTTATCTGTACATGCTAGCTGAAAAAAATTCTCTCTTTTTTTAACAGTGCCATTGCAATTAGCTAACTCTTTTCTAAAACATTTAAGAAGGAATTATCCTTTCTCAAGGTTCAGAGAGATAATACAGCGGGTAAGGCACCTGCCTTGCATGCAGTGATCCAGGTTCAACTCCTGGCACCCAAAATGGTCAGCCAAGTCCACCAGGAGTGATCCCCGAGCTCAGAGCCAGGTGTAAGTCCTGTGTACTGGCTGGATGCAGCCCCCCCCCCCCCCACACACACACAGAAATTAGGAAGTACCAATTCATCCACGTTTAAAAGAAATCCCACCAGCTTCTAACTTTCCATTCTACATAGCAACAACAAAAATTGTGTTTACCTGGCCAAGTTCCTCATTCAGATTAGATGTTCGAGCCATAGCAGCAGTGTCTGTGGGTTCATAATGCATGTCAAGATCCTATTATTAAAAAATAATAAGCAGATTATGTAAAATAAATCACTGGCTGAATCTGGTAACAGGGGAATAAAACATCAATTTAAGCCACATATGTGACCACTTCTCATTTTGCTCTCTCTATTCCATTTCAGTTAATTTCCCTGAAAAATATTCACTACTGAATTGTTTTGGGGTTGGAGGGAGCTGGGCCATACCCAGCAGTGCTTAGGGGTTATTTTTGGCTCAGTGTGCCTGAGTGGACCCTGGAGGTGCTCAGGGGAGTGGCGCCTGGGATTCAAACTATTGTCGGTGAGATTCAAGGCAAGCACTTTACCCCCTATATTACCTCTCTGGCCTTTGACTACTGTATTTTACAGTTTGGGTAGAACAAGACACTAAAATGAGGCAATCTAGTCATGTGATCCATTATAAAGATTAAATAAGATTGCTTAAGCAAAGTGCCTCCAAGCACCTGATAATAAAAGCTAAAATAACAGCAACTAATCATTGCTTAAATGATTAAGACTTTAAATTCTTGAAAAAAAAAAAATAATAAATGACCTACATGAGTATTTGGTTGTAGTTGGCCAGATACCTTATACTATATATACAACAAAAGCAAAATAATTTACTTTCCAAAATTCCAACCAAGAAGGAAACTTTTGATCCTGTTTCAAATAGAATTGTACTTGCTTTGCACCCTAAATTTCATGCAGTTGGTTAATAAGCCCATACAAGGAAGTTTCTTTGGTAGAATGTAGTCAGAGTAGAAAGATAGTCAGGGTTGCTAGTTGACTGATTTTCAGATGTAAAACGAGGAGGTCTAATATGATTATGCACAGTCCTATATTTCACTCTCACCAATATCAGTTCGAAAAATGGCTGTGAAAAATGATAGGTGAGATATTTGAAAAGGACTGTAGCACTGTAGCACTGTCCTCCTGTTGTTCATCAATTTGCTAGAGCAAGCACCAGTAACGTCTCCATTGTGAGACTTGTTGTTACTGTTTTTGGCATATCAAATATGCCACGGGGAGCTTGCTAGGCTCTGCCGTGCGGGAGGGATACTCTTTTCAGTAGCTTGCCGGGCTCTCGGAGAGAGACGGAAGAATGGAACCAGGGTTGGATGCATGCAAGGCAAACACCCCACCCGCTGTACTATTGCTCCAGCCCTTAAAAGGAATAGTAAGTAGTAAACAACTGGCCAGTGTTCAGAATGACTGGAATAGGGATTCAGTTGGAATACATGTCCACTGAAGAAAGAGCAGGGGGATACGCAGTTAGGTGGGTAGGGACAGATGAGGGGCTGGGGGCAGTGAAGTAGTGATAGGACTGAACAGCATGACAGCTTGGCCACACATAGCAGCATTCAGGGCTGGCTCTATGCTCCAGGATAACTCTTGGCAGTGCTTGCAGGACCACATGTAGTATGAAAGACTGAACTAGGGTTGGCTGCATGCAAAGAAAGCACCTTACAATGACCTATACCATTTCTCTGGCTCAAGGAACCTAGTCTTGAAGCAAAGGGGCCCAGTGAAGTTTACATAGCATGCAAATCACTCCTACAACCCAGATATTTTCATTCTAAACCCTAAGTTCTTTTCTTTTCCATGGTAAAGGTAAAAAAGGTAAAGGCCCTCCCGTTGATCGTCAATTTGCTCGAGTGGGCCCAGTAACGTCTCCATTGGAGACTTTGTTGTTACTGTGTTTGGCATATCGAATACTCTCAGTAGCTTGCTGGGCTCTCCGAGAGGGGCGGAGGAATCGAACTCGGGTCGGCCATGTTGGCCGCTTGTAAGGCGAACGCCCTACCGCTGTGCTATCACTCCAGACCATCACATAATCCAAAATGGGTTTTCTGAGCGAGGGTCCTGGATTATACACTCGTGGAATTCTGAGACAAGAGATTTTGCTATGGGGCTAAAATTATTTTGAAATATCATTTTTGTATTAGTTGAAGGTTAATTTTTTTTACCCAAGAGATAAAAATATATGAGAAAAGGACAAACATAATTTAGAGGGATAAGATACTATGATTCATATTTACCCAATTTATGAAGTATGCCTGGGTAAACTTAACCACTTCCAATGTGACCAACAAGCTGATAGGAATAAGATTGTTGAAAAGGATGATAAATGTCAAGAAATTCAGTCCAAAATTATTCGCACCACCATCTGTTGAGGGGGGAGGTGAGAAGAAAGTTCATTACCATTTTTATACTTCATAGATTAGAACTTTCACACAAGAATTTTCCAATTTACATTGTATCTAGATAGACTGGGAACAAAACTGTACTAATAAAATATTTTCATTTTGAACATGTTTAAGATAGAATAAGTATAATTTCTGCTAAAAACTTGCTTGTCCTATAAAGGGCACATAATGCTACTAAAAATCAAAACTACCTAGTATTCAAAATCCTGTTTCAAACAGGGAGGTAAGTGGTAGCATGGTAGATTCAGAGTTTAGAAATATAAAATCGTATTCAGGTGGAAGCAACCGAAAAGCATTTCCAACTTAAAGCTAATGTTAAAAACAAACAAAACAGCTGCAGTAAAAACAACCCAGACATCAAAAATGTGCTCACAGCATAAGTAATGTTAGGCTATCCTACATTAAATCCAGCCTCATGTAAAGGATCTACATTCTTTTCAATAATAAAAAGTAAACCAGCCACAGTTCTCCCAGATACACTGTAAACGAAGGAATAATGGGGTAGTACCAGCTACAATGTTGAGCCAACTCATGACCATCAAGAACTTAGCTTTAAAACTTAACAAAAATAATAAAGAGCAATAAAAAAGATTATCTTTGCTACAAGACTCTACTTGAATTTGTTCTGAAACAAATTAAGTATTTTGTTGGATAAGTACTGTTCAAAAGAAATGCAAAAATGAAATTATCCAGGGGTGGTACAGCCATCCCACAATAGTCAATGAAAAAAGGCTCAAAAAAGAAACTGTTTAATAGCACTTTTCATAAAGCAAGAAAACCAATGAACCTCATACACTGAATCCACAACATAAGTCTAAATGAAGGCAAATCTAAATGAAGGCCAGGGACTGGAACATATGTTTCACATTCAGGAGTTCCAATCTCCATTCGCCATACCTCGTTGGTACCGTGAGCATCACTAAGATTGATGTCTCCCAAATACCATGTCAAGAGTAATGTCCAAAGATGGCCATTATGACTCCCATTTATGTATTCATTCAAATACATAAATGAATAAATAAAAATGAACAAATGAAAAAAAATAAATAAAATACTTTTGTATTGGTATAATGAGAGTAATACAAAATAAATGAAGGTACAATTAGTTAAACATTTAAAAGCATGTAAACCAATTTTCTGGGCTTTAAATAATATTTATAAATATCTGACAGGTCATATAAATATTATCAATAAATAAACATGCAAATATTTATTTGTATTACTCTCCACACATTCTCAATCTGCTTTCAATACTAGAGTGATACCTACTTGTTAAAATATTTTTAAGGAATTAATACAACTAATTAAAACAAATAGTAAAATATCAGTTTTCACTAATGTAGGGTGAATCTTAAGAATTCTGTTTTATAATCTCATAGTTTATGTGATTTTAATGGAAATTACATTAGAAAATTATCAAATGCTAGTGATCTTAGCAGCATGGGTTTCTTTTCAGAAATAATCATAAATTTCAAGATTAAGTATGAAACAAATATATGGTTTAAGGTAAGGAATAAAACACCCATTCCAGTAAGTGCTTCGATGCTTACAGTTTAGATTGAGATACCAGTCCTTTCCAGAATGTCTTCGATTCCAAATGGCTGAACCAACAGAGCAGACAAGTGACATGGCAATTAAGATACAAAATAAAATCAAAATTTGTACATTTGTAATTCGTTCCACATTTGACAGTTTAAGTGGTGGACTTGTTGAGTTCTGTAAAAAGAAACAAGATGAATAATACGAACGAACATGTATTTCTATGACTTAGTAAATGTGTTATCTAGTATTCTGATGAGGATGACAAAGTTAGACAAATCAACCTTAGACATAGTAGACAGGAGATTCACACAAAACACAATCATGGATACCATAATCAGCCAAAGGATAACTACGTTTTTAACAAGCTTTTATTGAACACATAAGACAATTAGAAGCACAGCATTCCTTCTGTAGACCCAGTTTTGGCACTATAACAGAGATGAATGCATAACTTGACTTCTTAAGCTAATGATATGGAAGAGAATCAATGAGCATCTCAGCTCTGGAAGAGGCAGAGATGGTGGCCAATAGATCCCAACAGATCCAGTCAGAGATCTTGAAATCCCAATGTATGTAGTCAACATTGAAAGGGTTTCTTGGTTTCAAGATTTTTGGGGGGTCGGTATTTAGTAATTGTCTCAACAAAGTTATCACCAATTCAACCAGTCCTTGCTATAAAAATTCAGAGGCCAGTTCCCTTAGCCATTAGTAAATAGTTTTAAGAAATGATTATGCTGAATCTGTGTTAACAAAAGCATAACAGGGTGCAAAATTTTATTTGTCATAATCGATACAAAATGATTTACAGAAAACATGGAATGGCATGGAATAGTCAATACCACTTGCATGTTGATAACATCATATGCCTTTACCATGTATAAAATTATTTGCCTCTGATAACAGATTTCGACTAAGTTAAAAATTTAAGATATCAGATTAATGGGAGATAGTGAAAATGTTGAGGCACATTTTGGATCCCTAGGATCAAGCTCCAACTCTGCGAATGATCCCTTGAGCAATTCCACCAGGAGTAACTCCAAGCACTAAGACTGGAAGAGCTTCTGAGATGCTCCTGTCCACCAAATATGCACCAATCCAAAACTTCAACTGAAAACCAAACAGCTGAAGACACTAAATGAAAGTCATTCCCCACGTATATCAAATCACTGTACACAGATAATAGAGGAAAATGGGAATGTAGGGAGTGGCTCTTGGAACAGACTTTGGAAAGTAAAACTAAGAGATAGAAAAAAATAAGTTATTCTGTCACCAGCCCAATAGCAGCCTTATAGAATGAAGGCAGGACCCCCTTTTGGAGATGCAAAATCTGAGGCTTGATAAGACTCTGAAAAACCCCAGCACCAGCCCAGAAAAAAAACCTGTAATTCCTCAGGAAAGAAGAAACTTCAGCAGACGCAAGAGACCATCATATGACTATGAATCTGTGCTAACCAAATCATTTGCCCTGATAATAGATTTCAGCTATGTTAAAAGTGTAAGATATCAGGAGGATGGCAGATAGTGAAAATGTTGGGGCACATACTTTGCATGCTGGAGCCCCAGGATCAAGCAAATGAGGCAGCCCAAAATTCCTTTTCCTGACAACAAGTCTTAGCTATATAGATAGCCCCAAGCAGGGTGCAACTTGGGGAAAATCCTCATAAAACCAATGAGCATTGCTCACTCAGAGTGCACAATTCTTTTATTTTACTTTATGACATTCCTTCTCTGCTCTTGTTTCCTGAGTAAAACTGCTATTATCATTATCTTCTCCTGAAATTCTTTCCTGCAATGGAGTCACTGAAAAAATTTCTTGAAAAGGGTTTCTTAACATTTTTTCTGACCATGGTCCTCTTCCGACCTCTATTATCTGTGTACAGTGATTGGAGTGGAGATTGGAAGCTGATTTCAGAGTTCCCAAGACAATGCACCCCTCCACTGACAATGAAATGTGGAGAAATATGTTCACCTAACAACTGATAGGGTTGGAACAGGCCTCAAACAACGTTTCTCAACCTTTTTTCTGACCTTGGTCCTCTTCTGACCATGTTTCCTTCATGTGCCTCCCTCTGAGTCCTACCAATAGACTCCTGAATCTCATGTCATGGCCCACCATTGATGAATTCTCACCTGTGGCTCCCTTAGAATATTTGGGCGTGGGAGTGGTCTTCAAGGGACCATGTAACCCCCAGTTGAGAAACACTGATCTACATTATGGAATGTAGATGGGGAAATGGTCAACATTTCATTCACACTTTCTTTCTTTTTAATTTTTGTGGGGGGGAGGGGGAAATTCAAAAATTGATTATTATTTTAATAGAAACTGGTAAGAAATGAACATTTATGATTAAATAAACAAATTGTATTAATGGCTATCAATTTTGAAAATGCTGCTTAGAGAGCAATTATACAAATTAGTGGGTGTTGATACCTGGGGTGGTCGCTGGCAAAATTTTCCAGTGATCTGGTATGCTGAAAACCATTTCATAGCCCCACATACAGAAAAACAAAATTCTGGATGTCTAAAAAAAAATCAGGAACCCATGGCAGATGGTCTGTTATGTTTAGAATTACAGTACCCACAGGTACCAAGAGCACATTTTCAAAAAGATATAGGTCTACAATCTTTAGCCAGAGAAAAACCCTACCTGCATCAGTTTGGTGTCATGTCCAGTGTAGACGACTATTCCATGAACCCACTGTGTATTTCTCAGCTGAGCACCTCGCAGCAGAATCTGATCTGCTCCCAGGGGAACAGTGCTGTGACAGATCGGGTTGACATTAGAAATGACATCCTGTGAAATGCTTAAGAATTCCACCACCACTATATAATTCCAAAACAAGCGTTGTTCTATTAAAATAACCTCTCACACTTATTTTTAGAAGAGAACTGATTTTCCTACCAATAAGAATATTTTGCTAACACAAGGACAGCTGAGGGGTAGCATTTAAATATCTTCTCCTTAACATCAAATTAGCCACTTCACGATTCAAAATAGTAGGCACAGTTGAAGAATCCGGGGGCTGATCCTCAAGACTATTTAAAAGATTTTTTTCCCTGATTTAGTAAGTCTATTTTAGTTTCCAAGGTGTTTGGAAATGGCGAGCTTAGAGAGAGCCTCTGTTTCTTTCTCCCACTTTCCTATAAAGATAGCTTTGCCTATAGTAAAGTTTCAAAAAATACACAAGGGGACATAAATAAAAGATCTCATGATAACTTGCCTTGCCATTATCTCTACTCTCCAGAGACAAGGCTATATATTTTAAATCTCTAGGACATTTATCTCACTGTATTTTAAGTCAGCTTTCAAAGAACTAGAACATTTCAAATGAATGATCAACATCTAATAAGTTACATCTAATAACACTACTCTGAAATGACAGCTAGTTAATGTTAATTATTTCAGAGCAGCTAAAACATATTTTTGAAGGAATTCATTCTGTATAAGTTTCCCACTAGGGTGGGCCGCTAGCTAATAGAACTATACAGAGAGATGGCAGAGGATACCAACAATCATAGATATAATAGAACTCTAGATGGAAGTATCTACCTAAAATTTAATTGCCCATAGATTCCTATCACCATGTCTTTATTTTAATAAGAAAAAACAGTAAGAGGGACCAGAATGATAGTGCAATGGGCAGGATGCCTGTAAATAGCTGACCTGGTTTCAATCCCTGGTACCCCATATGATCCCCTGAGACCACCAGGAGTGATTTCTGAGTGTAGAGCCAGGAGTGTTCCCTGAGAACCACCGGGTATAGTCCCCAAATCAAAACAAACAAACAAAAAAACATAATAAAAAAATAGCAAACAGAGAAAAACAAACAGTTATGAAAGGTTTAGAGAGACTTCTCAAATAGGTGGAGCACATGTCTTAAATGAACAAGACACTGAGTTTGATCCTCAGCACTCCATGGGCCCCAAGAACAACCAAGTACAGATCTGATAGTTCCTGAGCACAACCAGGAACCATATATTGCCAGGAGTGTTCCAGGGACCCCAACCACTGCTAGGACCCCCGCACCAAGTTATAAGAAAAGGGAGAACAATTTCCCCAAGAAAGTATCCAGAGAATACAAAACAATGCCAGTGGACACAAACTGAGAAGAGAGATTCTTTGCTGGTGGGCTTCTATGCCTCATAGGTATTCAAGGACAGTACTAGCTTGGGTCTTGAGCTGTCTTTCAGGATCACAATAAATTACATGTTGAATGGACAATGAAAGCACTTGAAACTTTTGGTCTAAATGAATAAATTTTTAGGAAACAGTGAATTCCAATTTATATATTAAAAATAAACACAGCAGCTATCACTTATGCATCAGAGCAGGACTTTCAGATGTGGAAGACCCTTAATAGTGTATGTTTTAGTGTTTGGGGTGAACATTAATTGGGAGGGTTTTCAGGTCTAAAGAAGGTAGCCAGGAGGTTCTGAAGAACTGGTTGGACTATGTTCTGGCACTCCTAGGTGGCCACTGTTTCTCACATTTCTAATAGGATATATACAGCAAGTGTCACTTGCATGTTTGGGTAGATTGTTTAAAGTAACTATAAACACTTCTAATGCAAAATTACATGACAATGACTGAGACTTAACAAAAGCTGATGTTAGTTATCTATATTCTAATGCTTCTGGCACTAGATGATGACCTTCCACCACAACAGAATCAAAGTACACTCATTCCAAGCCAAGATGTCCCATTCCAGACAATAACTGTAAAATTCAAATGAAAATACAACTGAAATGAAAAAGTCAGTGAAAATATGCTTTTGAGAAGATAGAAGAATCTTGGGTACTTTGGTGGAAGTGAAGGGGGAGTATTTATGTATATAATAAGTATAAATATAAATGGTATTGTAATCATGCCACCTCAGTGCCAATAAAAAAAGAAAACTGGTTTCCACCTTTCACATAAACTCAAGCATATTATATAATTTCTACGTGTATTATAAACCTTGGCACCACCATAAAAATTTCTCCTTCACTGCTTGGATTTACTTGGCATGGATTTGACGGGGGCATTGATTAAAAAAAAAAAAAGGAAACCATCCAATTATGACTGTCAGCTACAGAAACATTACTTATACGTAAATGGCCAAATCTATCATTAGTCTATTGCCATATGTTCATGGAAAGATCACTCTGTACAAATTTTAGAACAACATATAATTATTTCAATAATTATAGGAAAGCTTTTGGTAAATCTGAATGAAGGTGACAACATAGGGTATGTGCCAAGTGTCCTTTAGAATTCATATACTGCAATAAGGAAATGACAAATAATGAAAACACCGATAATCTCTCAGGATGGTGGGTTGGACTAATGCATTTAGTGACATTTAATTGATGACTGAGATGATGGTACATAAAGTATACCATAAAACACAGGAAGCAGAGTAGAGAAGAGGAGGCAAGAAAGAAAGGGGATTACAAGAGACTCTACCATCCCTCTTAGTTTGTTTCCTTTTCTTTGTTCCTCTTTGGAACCTGAACTTCTTGAAAAACTTCTAGGGTTTGAGACATAGTACAGCAGGGAGGGTGCATGCCTTGAACTCAGCTAACCCAGGTGTGAGTCTCCAGCTTTCCATATGGCTCTGGAGCCCACCAGGAATGATTACTGAGTGCAGACGCAGAAGAATCCCCTGAGCACCACCAACTGTGGCTCCAAAACAAACAACATAAAACTTTCTAGAATTTCTATTTTCAAAAGAACATTCATTACTTTTATTTTCCGTGGCATGGAGCCTCATACGTGTGTAGCATGCATGGAGTCTATGGAGCCACACCCCTAGTTCTATGCCTGCTACTGTCAACTCCTCTTTAGCTCTTTCTCAGTCTCTGTCATCCTTCACCTGTATAATGAAGCACACAGGTGTTCATGGGCTAACTCCAAAGAGTTATTTCTCAGTCTACTTGTACTTGACCATCAGCAACATTGACCAGCTTTAGTCATTCCTTCTGCATTGGTAGATTCCTCACTCTCTTGGTTTCCACTCTAACAACCTGATCTTAGTCTCTTGTACTGGTTCCTCCTCTTTTCCTACCCTCAATGCTAGAGATTCTCCAGATATTTTCATGCAATCTTCTCTTTTCTGTTGCTATACTTTTCAACGATTTCTTCCAGTCCCCTAGCTTAAACATCTATGCCATCTACGTAAATTGAGATTCTACCCCAAACTCAGGCTTATATATTTAACTAGCTCCCTGACGACTTTCTTTTGCCATCACAAAATTACTAAGTGCAAAAGTAAATGCTAATATTCTACCTTGCAACCCAAACCCCCCAATGGATCCCTATTTCACTAATATCACCTTTTCAGTGACCTACTAAAGGCTACATGGTCTGACCCAAATTAATCTCATGTACTTTGTATTACTTTACAACTCCAACCAACTGACCCTTCTGATATTTTCTCATTACACAAAGCACTTTCCCATTTGAAAACCGTGTAATGATAAACTAATAATTTGCAATAAATATTCCTCTTCCTGAAATCCTTTTCTTCAGATCCCTGAATGGCTAACTTCCAAACTCACAAACTCATACCTTTGCTCAAAACTTACCTTCTAAGCAAATCACTACAATCACTCCAAGTAAGTAAGAGTGATCTCTTCCCCATTACCACTTACCTGGTGTTATTTTTATTAAAGCAACTCTCACTTTCTGACATAGTATAGAGTTTTCTTATTATTTTGTGTGTTTGATTTGGTTTTGGAGCCCCACCCAGCTGTGCTAAGGGCTTATTCCTGGTTCTGTGCTCACGGATCACTTCTGGCAGGCTTAGAAAACCATCGGGATGCCAGGAACAAACCCAGGTCAGACACCTGCAAGGCAAGTGTCAGGCAAGCACCTTACCTGCTGTATTATCGCTCCAGCCTTTATCATTTTGTCTGTCTGCTTGTGTTTTCCCTAGTGTAGAAAGTAAACTCACAAAAGCTAGATGATATCACTTCTTTGTTTAGTGCAGTTTCCTTCAAATCTGTACCTGATCTAGATCACTAGGTGCTGAATACGTAACAGTTAAGAAGAACAGCAGTAAAGAAGGAAAAAGAAGAGATAAATGTGCAGAAAGTAAGCAGTAGCAAAAGATAATATGGCCTAGAAAAAGCACGTACAATAACAGAGAAACTTAAAAAAAATTCCTGTGCAATGAACCCCTTGAAGCATGGGGTTTATGATCTTTGGCATATGTGGACTGGTACTAGTTTACAGACTAGAGGTAGCAAGCCACTGATCTGAGATCATAGAAAAGAAACAGGCAATGGAAAATTCGTGTTCAGTCCTATGACATGAGTATTCTGGTCAACATATAAATCAACATATAAAACAACATGTAAGGACACAGAATATCCCTGAAAACACTTAACTGTCAGGTTTGCAGGGACACAGGGGAAGTCTTCAGTTATACTAAGTGTACAGGGCTAAGATCTAGCATTTTCACAAAGGACTCTGGGTAGCAATACAGAAAAATGCTTAAGAAAACAGTTTTGAGTAATCAAACTCATGAGCTTAAGAAAATACATTGCTAGACTTCGAAGAAATGCAGCATATACCCAGCAACACCATAAATTCTATACTTTCGTGAAAACTAGTTTTACATACCCAAGTTCATCAAGCCTGATGTTTCCAACAAAATCATAGAGATGTCTATTTGGGCTTTCACACTCAATTCTGCCAGAAATTCTCATCAAACTGTCAATGTCTTTTATATCCGATGTGGCTGATAAACCCTGTTTAGAGAATTTTAAATAAGCAAAGAATGCATTAAATAAGTTGTGTATGGGAATTCTGAATTTTTCCAGACTGAGAGATGTAGATGATTCCCAGCTTTTATGAGCGATTCGCCACTTATATAACATTCTGTGTTAAGTCATAATTAGTTGGTATCTTTCTTTTCACCCGAATAGAGGTTTTTTTTTTTAAGCACAAGAATAGGACAGTTTTTGTAGAAGTTCTTAAATATATTTGAGACTATAATTATTCTGAAGACATTTTGAAATAAATTCTTAGAAAACCACCTGCTTCCCCTAATAAAATTTAGCATTACAGAATCTGAATCTGCTAAATCCTCAAAAGAAAATTTAAAAAATAAAAAGAATCTATATCCAAAGAGAACAGTTATTATTATTATTTTAAAGTATATTGAAAAGGATAACTTTAACACAATTCTTCCATCTGATCAACCAGAATTGACCAAAACACAAAGGCCCTCCTTTCTGTGGTACTCAGACCAGGGGCTCTGTGCTAACCTACTTCTGCCACATGCCCCATGTTATTTCCAACTTCTGCCTAAAACTTTTAAAAGGACTTTTTTTAAAGTCCTTTTAAAACTTGAGGGGGAAAAATTACATTTTCCTTCTATTATGAATGGTACAAGAAGTAAATATGAAAACCTACCATTGAAATTAGTGATGACTTTTATGAACAGCAAGGGAAACTAAGCCAGTTCAATATAGCAAAGTCAAATAATTTGGGTCAAGTGAAGAGAGAAAATAAAGCTAACACATGTCAATGCCATCTAAAACTATAACTACTATTTTCAGTAGAGTATTGGCAGTTTCATAAAATATTAAAAAGTACTGTTACAAATAATACTTATATGATAGACTATATAAATAAGTCAAGTAAATGAGTCTTTCATAATGCTTAATCATACAAGTTGCTAAAATTTTTTGTAGTGGAAAGGATTTTTTTTTTCTTTTTTTATTAGTGAAACACCATGAGCTACAGTGGTAGATTTACAATTTTTTGTGCTTGGGTTTGATTATACAATGATCAAATACCCATCCCTCCACCAGTGCCCATTTTCCACCACCATGGATAATATCCCCCCCACCCCCATCCCCCCCATTCCCCCCTGCCTCTGTGGCAGGGCAATCCCCTGTGTTCTCTCTCTCCTTTTGGGTGTTGTGGTCTGCAAAAGAGGCATTGAGTGGCAAACATGTTCAGTCCATAGTCTACTTTCGACATGCATCTCCCATCCTGGGAGGATCCTCCAAACACCCTTTATTTGGTGTTCCCTTCTCTATCTGAGCTGCCCTTTCCTCTAGAATGCCCGACTGGCCACTAAGCTATGGAGTAATCCTCCTGGTGCTGATCTCAGCTATTCTTGAGTATTAATCTCATATTTTGTTACTTTATATCCCCCAGATGAATGCAATCTTTCTATGTCTATCCCTCTCTTTCTGACTCATTTCATTTAACATGATACTTTCCATGTTGTACCACTTATATGTAAATTTCATGACTTCATCTTTTCTAACAGCTACATAGTACTCCATTGTGTAGATGTACCAAAGTTTCTTTAACCAGTCATCTGTTCTTGGGCATTCAGGTTTCTTCCAGTTTCTGGCTATTGTAAAGAGTGCTGCAATGAACAAACAAATGCAGATGTCACTTTGACTATACATTTTTGCCTCTCTGGGATATATTCCCAGGAGTGGTATTGCTGGGTCAAATGGGAGCTCAACTTCTAATTTTTTGAGAATCGTCCATACTGTTTTCCAGAAGGGCTGAACCAGTCGACATTCCCACCAACAGTGAATTCTTCCAAATCTTTAAAGAGGAATTACTCCCTATCCTCTTTAAGCTTTTCCACGAAATTGAAATATCAAAAACACTTGCGGAAAGGATATTTGCATTTTGTTAGAATGACTTCAATTGAACATTATGAAAAAAGCTCTCAATTCCATGCCCACCACCTCCAATTCCCCCATTACACCCAGCAAAAATAGTATGAACCTCTACTAGATCTTACCTGTCTAATTTTCAGGTTTGTCTCACCATCTAAGTTGGATGTTTCGATGTAGCACATGGCCTGGGGCTCACTGTTGTTTAAAATTAAAAAGCAGAAAGATTTAGTGGGGGAAGGAAAGCATAACTTATTTAAACACTTAGACTTGCAGAGGCTTTTTATTCTAAATAAGGCTTTCAAGTCACCTAGTTTCCGAATCATTTTCATTCTAACACGAAGCTGCTATGTGGCAGAACCCATGCAGGACCACTGGGGATGAGTTTTTCAGCCCAAAAGAACCAAAAGCCATTTCCTAAGAACTATTCCTACACTTCTTCAAGATAATTTCATTTATTTAACTGTTACGTGCATCTGAAATTGTCCATCCATACAACAGAGGACATGGAAATGCATCTGAAATGCAAAGCACTTCTGTGCCCAGATTTATCTTTGGCTCATCACTGTCGAGTGAGATTTCATGCTCACATCCCACATGTAAATTGGTAAAGAAAAAGTGGCTGATTAGAAAATTCCAGATTGCTGCTTCTATAAACACACTATAACTACCTTTCCAGAAAAGATAAATAGAATCTTTATTTATCTTTGGAACCATTCTATTTAAAAAGTGTGAGGCTACATTTAGAAGTGGCTTGAACACATTTTACAATGAAATTGAATATATACTTGTCTCACCCATCCTGGCTTTCCCACTCCTGATTTTCTCATTTGTTAAGATGGCTTCAGAGATTCTTGGGGCAGCTAAAATTAAAATCAGGCAACCTTGCAGTATTCTAGGTTCCTGATGTGAACCTAGAATATTCATTTTATGGTTCCCCACCAAGAAGCTCTAGTTAAGTCTGGCGTGCAGTTGCTAACTAGCTAAGGGGCCCATGTCTTCAGTTTTATTACAACCACAGCACTCTGAACCCCTTCTACCCTGCTTCTTGTTACTTTACTTGCCCAATATCTGTTGATTGGTGAATTTGTATAATCTTAACTTCAGATCTATGAAAAAGCATTTATGAAGTTATATCAATCTAATAATAGCAGTTAGTTATAGGACAAGGCTAATTTGCTGAGGATTTGCAAAGATTATGTTTATTATAAACATAATCTCTGAGAAGTGTGTGTACTCAGAGTTAGACATTTGCCAACCATAAATACCTGGAATTTCCTAATCAACTTCCAATTTGTACATGTGCAAAACAACTTCCAGTTTCAAAAAAGGGCATTTAGCTAAATTTTGTGACTTGATGATTTGAAAAAAAATTATTGAAATTCATGGATATTAAAAGTTTTACAGATTTTAGTGAAGCCCTGCAAGTTCTTCAATTTAAAGATTACATTCCTTTTTCCCAAAAAGCTGATACTTTCATCTAACTCAAATTTTACAATACTTATATGTTAAATGCCTCAATTACCCCATGTTTTATTTTATATTATGGTAGTGATAGTAATTTTACTTTAGTGATGGATTCCAATTCATTATACTTATTTATGTATATGATAAACCTAATGGCTTAATATATATTTGAAACACAATGACTTATAAAATTTAAAAAAACATCTGATTATATAATTATGTATGATGTGACAACAGATGTTATCTGAACAATGTTGATTCTATAATTTGGCAAGTGAAATCCATTAAAAACTTACTTATTGAAATCATGTCATATTAAAATGAAAGTAAAAATCTAATATCTATTTCTTTTATTTCTAATCCTTTTTTTAAAACATGGCAACTTTTCTAGAACTACAAGAGCCTATAGCTAGCTTATATTTGAAATGGGGCCAATAAATTATGCATCCAATTCAGAGCATTCTTAATCCATTAAGACAGCCATGATTGAAGTGGTTCTTGATAGTGCTATGAGAAGGCAGCAAGTAGTCACAGAGAAGAAATCATGCTAGATGACAACTATTTCAGCAAATTATGATGACATCCAAAACACAAACTACAGTCAAAGAGGCAAAGCAGGCTTTTTGATTAGTAGGTGGAAAAACGAAACAATACACATACCACAATACAGACACTAGGAGACAGCTGAAATTTATCACAGAAACGTGCACTTTGTCACTAATAACAAGTGGGATAAAAACTGATCCCAAAGCATGCGGTACAAAATGTACAACATCCAGCTTTGTGCAGGGGGTCCTCTGTAAGCTCTATACAAGCTCAAATTACCGACAGAATCAGAATCACTGAAGGGATTTTACAGAATTTCTAGAAACTTTAAACGTGTTCAATAAGATGAACTTCACATTTTGCTTCATGAAAAGCTTCACATTGATTAAGAACAGTAGCCTGAAGAGGTAATAAATTAATCCAAAGGATTTTGGCATGTCGTTGAATAGGAATTGACATTAATGATATTGAAGGTGCAAAGGAAATTCATTCTACCTTTACTGACATGTCTCATAGCCTCCTACTGATAACAATAGGAGATGAATCTGCCCACTTGAAGGACAAACATGGACTAATCTTTAAAATATCTGTGACATGTCCGTTATTAAGAAGTATACAGAATTTTGTGTTTTAAAGGGACAGAAACAGAACTTGAGATTCTTTGGGTGCAAGTGCTGAAGGGTGAGGATCCGCATACACACATCCTGTGTGATTCAGTGGTTCTAACCTTGAGGACAGGCTGATGAGATCTGCTGGGAGGTGTTCCCCATTGGTCACTTTCACTATTTCCCCTACTGCCACCTACAGGTCCCAGTTTAAAATAATTAAAATGGAAAAATAAAATGAATAACGGGGGTGGGGGAGGGGACAAACAAATGGACAAAAGAGACAGAAAGTTTGAAATATTATTGAAAAAAATACATGTTAATAAAAATGTCTAACGCCACTTTTTTCAAAACTTATTTTGATCAGGCCTTCTCGCACAAAAAAATGAACATTGAAGGATTTGTGTTCGCTTTTAAGCTCAATTTCCAAGTTTTAAGTTTTCAATTGAGTCACCACGAATTACAGTTACAAAGAGTGATGTTTTTGCAAAGTTTGTGAAGTTTATTCACAATATATCATATTAATAAAATTTTCACATAGCTACTTTAGCTAAGAACAGCTTTACAGACTTTTCCTTGTCTAATCCCTCACACTCATACCATCTAGTATGACTACCACTAGAAAAAAAAAATAACTGTGGAAACTAGTGTCTTAGGTTTTTGAAAAACAAAGACGTATATTATCTTAACTTTCCTCCTATTTATACATTAAAAAAACATTAAAACATCTAATTCTAAAATTTTCAAAATTAAGTGCATAAAGTCTTAATTTTAATGCAAAACTGCTAAGTGTTTTAGGAAGTTTGAAGATGTAATTGCAGCCTTTTAAGTTATTTAGAAATACAAGTAATGCATTTAGAAGGACAAGGAGAAATTTTTCAGAGGGCATTTAAATAGATACGGTAAGATTCTGTTTGGAACTCAATAACTTGATTATTAAACTATTTTGTACTTCTAAATATAAATATGTACAATAAAATGTTTATTCATTTTGAAATGGATGTCCATGAAATAAAACTTCCAACTATGTTCATGCTTCAACTTCAAACTACATCTAAGAAGATGCACTATTAGTAATGGATAATTAAAAATGCTTGGAAACAAATATAATAAACTGCATATTCTTACTCCTAGGTGGTGTTCACAGGTGAAAATCATCATGTCCTAATTTTGATTGTGGAAACAAATGGTCATATACTGGCATAAGAAAATGATTAGATTAGGAGTTAGGTATTACAACCATGACTTAGTCCTTACCTAAATTTTCAGTAGTGAAAAATCAGACAAAGTTCTTTGTATTTTTTATTACCTGATTGCTGGGCTGGAGTGATAGCACAGCAGGTAGGGCGTCTGCCTTGCATGCAGCCAACATGGCCAACCCGAGTTCGATTCCTTTACCCCTCTCAGGGTGCTCGGCAGGCTACCGAGAGTATCTCGCCCCCACGGCAAAGCCTGGCAAGTTACCCATGACGTATTCCATATGCCAAACACAGTAACAACAAAGTCTCACAATGGAGACGTTACTGGGCCCACTTGAGAAAAATCAATGAACAACAGGATGACAGTGACAGTGACAGTGACAGTGCCTGATTGCTGACAAAACTTTTATTTATATTGTAGGGTTAGTGTAAATTCAAAAGAACCAAGTAATGCAAAAATTCTTTGAGAAAAGTAACTGCTGAAAGGTTGGCATTTGTCATCTTGATAAAAAAAAAATCTAATAGTACAAACCTTATACTTCAAAGCATACTAAATAACAAAACTAAGAAAATTGTATTGTCTAAAAAAGTAATCTTTGGAGGAAGTTAATCCCTGTTGATTCCATTTTAACATTTAAGAGTTTAGATACTACAAGCACAGATCTTATTGGGTATTTCTGGGATTGAACAAAGGGATCAGAAAATATTTTGAAAACTGTCAACTTACAAAAATGTCATCTTAATACAGTCAATTATTTTTATAAGTTTGATCATACAAAAAGTGAATATAGCAACTGGTGTTTCAGCATATATGATGATCTTTAATAAACTTTGTACCGATGATGGGCTTAATAAGAAAACCACCAATACTTTATTAAATTGGTAAAACACTTTACCATCATTTTGAATTTTGTTCTATAAATATATTCATATGATGATTGTTCTATTATACAAATTAGACTTTTATCTAGCACCACAAAGTTGTTAGGCATTCTTAAAGATTATTAATTTAATATTTTTATAAAAAAGGAGTGATAGCACAGCGGTAGGGCATTTGCCTTGCACGCAGCCAACATGGCTGACCCGAGGTCGATTCCTCCGCCCCTCTCGGAAAGCCCGGCAAGCTACCGAGAGTATCTCGCCCGCATGGCAGAGCCTGGCAAGATCCCCGTGACGTATTCGATATGCCAAACACAGTAACAACAAAGTCTCCAATGAGATGTTACTGGGCCCGCTCAAGCAAATCGATGATCAACGGGAGGGCCTTTACTTTTACTTTACTTTATAAAAAAGGAGAACTGGGAGATATTAGAATTTGATCATTTAATTCAATTTTATCTCTTGAAAAGTTGTAAAATCAAAACCAGAGATATTAAATACTTTTTTCTGAATTATGAAGTCATGAAGTCATGGGAAAAAACCTTGGCTTTCTACCTCCTACCCAGGTTTCTCTCAGTACCTAAAACTATTCAGTATTTGAGACACTGTAATAAGTTCATGGCTAAATTCCTTTTCCAGGGGTCATACACCACCACTGCCTTTATTTTGAGTTTTGGAAACGTACCCTTCATAAAAAAAAGAGATGCATTTTCTTTTGTTTTAATATTAATCCTATAACTTTTCTAAAAAAAATCCATTTCATCCACTTAACTTCATAGTTTTCTTTATGCAAAGTAAAATAATAATAAAAATGTTTATTTAAAAATCTATTAATTTTTATTCTTTTAAAAGCAAAATGTATAGGCAAATGGCAAAAAGACCCCTATCTATAAAATGAACATGAATACCTAGAGTTACTTCAACTACCAGCAGTTCTAATTCTATAAGTACCTGAACTTATAACTTATTTGTTTCATTAAGTTCCATTTACTGATAAAAACCAATCACAGAAATGACCTGATTAAAGAGGTTTTGAAAAAAGGGCACTTTTCATATTCATATGGGTTTTACAAATAAAACAGTCCAAGGAAATGATGATAAACAACCTCCAAGATGTTAAAACCATCTTCCCCCTTAATTTACATTAAGGACTAGTTTCATGGATTTAAAAACCTAAAGGCATTTAAGAGTCACATTCTTTAAGGGTAACAGTGCCATATGTTCAAAGTACTAATTTATGACAATCTTAAATGTGCGTAAAATAAAAATTATCTAAATCAACCATGAAATAACTTAAAAGGAAGAGTAAAGTAACTTTATTTTCTTTTTTGTTGGAAGAGTATGGCATGTCAAGAGATGATGACAGAAAAAAACCAATTCATCCATTTTCTCATACCATTTCACCATAAAGATAAAGAAACTTTGCAGAGACATACCAATGCATACCTTTCACAAATTGATCATGAACAAGGACTAGGAGATAAAATCATCAGAACCCAAGCCATGTATCATATAAAATAAGTAATAGGAAATCTTACAGGAGTTCAGAGTCTACACAAAGTATCTGTACACATTCAGAGAAAAGTAGACTCTTTTTTATGTAATTACAACATTTAAATTATAAAACAAGTATCTATTACTTATTCTATATGAAAAAACATGAAAGAGTCCCTTAAGCCCAATTAATTTTTTAAAGCTTAATTCAAAAACATTAGAGAGGTTTATAATTCCTCGTTTATTCCTTATTTCCTTGGAGAAATCACAAGGTCAATGCAGAGTAGAGAAACCATCCTCTACACTGTTTGAGCACCAGCAGGTATCTCTACCTTGATGAAAGAAGTACAGTGTCAGCAGGTATATACTCTTTGCCTTTTATTATAACTATATCTCCAACATTTACCTGAAAGAAAACTGGGAATTGGTTAATTATCTGCATTGAAAGACAGTTACAAATAGACAATCCATTATACTTAATAATAGAATACACTGTAAAATTGGCTCTGGTATATAAAAAAACCACTGATCTTCACAAGAATGTTATAGAATAAACCAGAAGTAAGGTCAAGAATGGGATGATTCTTTAAAAAAAAGAAATGTTGTATTTTTTGTTTTAATATTAATTCTATAACTTATCTATAAAAAAAATCCATTGCATCCACTTAACTGACTTCTCAACTTCTCACATTCTCTCCCTTTGGCATGAAATAAAAAGGAGAAATTGAACAAATGAAACGTTTTCCCTGCTTAAGAAAATCTCAACACAGCTGGAAAAAATACTGTATACGTGCTCATTACTCTTATGATATCCTATGAAATAGTTGTTACCTATAATCGTCATTTTGAGAGGAAGAAAAGGAGTATTAGACTCCAAATTATTTGTTTCAAGATCACAAAAAGGAAGAGTTTAGCCTTCAAGTGACTTTCGTGGCAAAGCCTCACTGTGCACAGGTAAATTTACTAAAACTCTGTTTTCAAATAAAAAATTAAGGGCTGGTTCTCTTTCTTATTTTACTACCTGTGAACACTTTTGTGAGCCTGGTACAAAACAAGCTAAAACACACTATGGCTACAAACTGTTTGAAGCAATTTAATCATGGGTTTGTCACACAAAATTTGGTAAAAAAATACAACTCCAACTATTTGGCTTGCTGACTAAGCCAGGTTTACTAAGTTATACTGACAGCAAACTTCCATTATATCCTCAAAGTGCCAGCTCTACCATAGCAGCTAAATATAAGCAATATATCAATAGAAATAATTAAAAGAAAAGCTTTTTGGTTAAAGTCTTTCTTCCCTCCTTTCCTGGTCCTGAAATAAAGGAAAAAAGAATGACTGTAACAGAGATAGCCCATGTTTCATATGTACATATACATATATATATATATATATATATATATATATATATATGTATATATAACCAGGGAGCATCCGTTTAGGGAAGGTTAGAGGGGAATCTTCTCATCTGAGGTAGGAAAACTGATTCTTCAGGAAGGGAAGTTATAAATGCCTAATACAGCTGAAACATGTATTATGTGAAGCGGACAACTGGCCAAGGACCTATAATCAAATATTCTTTCCTTCAAAAAAGGGCAAGCTGAAGGGTGAGAGGAGAGCAACTAAAACTGAAAACTGGCCTTTAAAATGATGTGCTGTCAGCTCCCACTCAAGCAAAATTAAATCCAATCTGGGGCCAGAAGATAGCTGAGTGCCATGGTAGCACACATGCTTAGAACGTATACTTGAGTGTGCAAGGTTTAAGGTACAAGCCTATGCCTGGACCACAGGGCCCCCAAGCACCACTGGGACTAGGTCCGATTGAAAAGGCCCCTGACAAGCACCTGAAGCCTATTTTAGGCCTTCCTCTGCCCTGAGTCCCCATTGTAGGCTGGGTACATATACATAAAAAATATATATTTTACTTAAAATATATATATATATTAAAAGAAACTATAAAAGTTCATAAACTTTGAAAAGCTAATCTAGGCTACCACTGAAATGCTCTTTAATTGCCTTCTCTGTGTTAACATTTACTCTTCAGACTATATGCTTCATAAAATCAGGATGTTTGTTTATATTACAGTGTTGTGTCTAACAGACTTAGAAAAAAATCCCTCACTGAAACATCTGCTTTCCAATATCTTTAGTCATTTTAAGACAAAAGAAGGACTCACAGTTATTGAACTGTAGTCTAAGGGATATATTAACTCCAAAATGATATAAGGTAATGACAGTAAAGATCAGGGAAAACCAGAAATGTACTAAATGCTAAAGCAACTCTCGTAGCACTGTGAGAAAAACAGGGAGCTCCCACATTTTCTCCATACGATGCCTGTGTTTCAGATCACTTTCTCAAACACATCCAAGCACTTCACTCTCTGGCAAAAAGTTCTGACACAGCTCCTAATGTAACACCTTCCTCTAAGACTGGTGTGTACATAAGGAAGAGACAGAAAAGTAAGTCAAGATAACAAAAGTTCTCTGAACACAAACTCTAGTTGGAAGAACAGTATCACCAAGGGGTCTAAGTCCCTGCTTAAGACAGGGAACAGGGATTTTGTGACAACTGGAGCCCTATCATTAGTATTTAAAATCTGAGGGTGGAGTCCAATGGTCAGATGACGATATTTTAACATGGATTTTAAATCAAAATAAAATTTTATAGCACACATTTTAATGGGCCTTGGGGCAAACAAATGAATCTTGGTCCATTTGTACATCCCAGCATATTTATATTTTTACTAAAGAATTTTTTTCCTTTTTTGGGTCATACCTGGCAATGCACAGGGGTTACTCCTGGCTCTGCACTCAGGAATTACTCCTGGCGGTGCTCAGAGTAGCATATAGGATACTGGGAATTGAACCCAAGTTGGCCGCATGCAAGACAAACACCCTACCCTCTGTTCTATCGCTACAGCCCAATACTAAAGATTTTTTAATATAAAAATATTAATCCAAAGAAACATTTCACAGTGGAAACTTGCATGCATTAAGGCTGGTTTAACAGAAGGACTTCTACATATGCATGCAGTCTGCTACTCTAAAGTTCTCTATAAAAGTCAGGAAAATCCTTTTGCTTCTATGGTTTAAACTTTCCACTTGTATCTCTCAAAAAAAAACTGTGAATAATCTCAGTTTGAATCTCCATATGAAAAACTAATCTTTAGGTGAGCAAATATGCTTTTGTTTCAAGAGTGGTAATTATAAGATGTTGTAATTCCAAAACTTTCTTTGAAAATGAGATACCTTGTGCAATTGTGAAAAGGCATGAGGGTAGTAATAGGAGAAAAGTGTTAATGTGGAAGAGATGAAGTCTTCAGATCTTTGAATGACTGGATTATGGCCTGCATATCTGTAAATCCTTTGAGGTCTATTTCAAAAGAAGCCATAGTAGCAGCACATTTTAAAAGGCAGATAAAGAACTTGAAACTAAAGACCATTTTGCTAAGGCTTATCATATTACTTTGGCATGTGTCATGTGTCAGTTCCTTGGTTTTAGTTAATTGATTTCCATTTTTAACTGTACAAAAATTACATAGACTAAGGGAAAGATTTACCCCTTAGTCTGGCTAATCCAGCTTGCAAGCCAGTTTTCATGTCTGTCCATTGAGTATTCACTATTCCATTTCTCTAGGGCTGGCATCGTAGTTTACATGCTTCGGTTCTTTTTCACCTGTGATTATATTTTACCACACAGAAAACTTATCTGTCTTGTTTGTTGCTATGAGATCACTGCTTGGCATTTGCACTCAATAAATAATTGAAGGAATGGAATCATTTTTCTCTCTATTGCTTCAGAACTTGAAATTACAGCTTCTATCACAAAACAAACCAGAATGTAGAATGTCATGATTTGATTTATAAAATTCTTTCCTTATTGTGGATACACCTAATTTCACGTTTATGATAAATAACACTGCAATAAACACTTTCATATGTGCACATTTTGCACACTTTATGATTATTTGGGAGGGATAAGTTTTTAGAACTGTGATTTAATGTTTCTTATTTAAAAGGGTCTAATCACTAATCCATAATACTGTGAGAATTTTTTTTTTTTTGCATCTCACCCAGCGATGCTCAGGAGTTACTCCTGGCTCATGCATTCAGGAATCACTACTGGTGGGGCTCAGGGGACCATATGGGACGCTGGGATCAAACCTGGGTCGGCCGTGTGCAAGGAAAAAGCCCTACCCACTGTGCTACACTACAGCCCCAATACTGTGAGAATTAAATATCTAACAAATTTAAATTCTATCTCTTTACCCAGTAAAATGTATGACACTTATTTTCCAGTTGTCTGAAAGGTCTGCCAGTCCGGATAAACAGAAGCTAGTAATTTCATTTTACTATTTTTGTCTCAAAAAACTGAAAAGAATTATAATAATTTAGACAAACTAGCACAACCTGAAATAATGACTTTTGGGAAGACAAATCATTTTAACAAGTTAATCTTAGCATTAAGATACAGAGAGTTATCTCCTGCTTTTAACTCTGTTTTTTTAATAAGCACTCTAGGCATGAAGAAATTGATACATCAATATGTTATGGGATGTTGACAGGTATTTATATTATATTTGATAATTCTAGCAAAGAAAATTTATTTACACTAAAGTTCAGTTCATCACACTCGATTAATTCTTTATTTGCCTTCTCTCTAAAATACCTAAGTCTACTAATGCCAGATGAGCATAACAGAAATTTTTCTTGAAGTAATAATTTTTGGTTTTTGTCTTGCTCCTGTAAAAAGAGATGACTATCAAAGAAAGAAGGAACAAAGTATTTTCCTATTGTTATTTTTATGTCAAAGATCAGAGAGAGAGCGAGAGAGAGAGAGAGAGAGAGAGAGAGAGAGAGAGAGAGAGAGTAAATGGTGAGTTTTTAAATATCCACAAAAGTTGTCAACTTCTATTCTACCGACTGATTGAAAATCAACATAAAAAAGGCAGTGAGCTCAGACAGAATCCACACACTTGGATTACCCTGTGCATCACAGTGAAGAACATGATTTTTCTCCCTCTGGAGGCTAATGAGGATGAAACTAAAGGCCACTACTCTGCTATTCTGGCAAAAATAGAAACCAAATGCCCGGTGAATGATTAAAAGTTAAATGTCCTTCCATAATTAAGAAAAAACTAGTAATAGTTGCTTACCTTTTGAAATCAAGGTCTGAAAATATGAACGCTTTAAAAACATTTGTTAAATCAGGATCTACTCATTAACTGCCATGTTAGAGGTCCTGGAGGAAATGAACCTCTTGATGTTATGACACCTGACTTCCAGCAAAAAGACGTTTCCAATAGGAAACTGTATTTAGTTACATTTTCAAAGAGGAATAGGTGTATGGAAATGTGACAGAATATGAATTTGAAATGAAGAAATGTAAAATATCAAAAAATAAACTTTTATTTTTACTTGGTCAGTAGATGATCAAAACAAAAAATTTGAAGACAAAATTATTCCTAGTTAAATAAATCTGTGAAAAACATAATTTAAAATGTACCATAACAGAAACAAAAAAATTCTAAGTATTACCTTTCACGGTGATAGTCTTTTTAAGTATCTAGTTGATTTAATATATGGAAGAATTAATGTATGTTTATAACATTAATTACTGAACGACTTTCATATTAAAGGAACTGCATATATTTTATATATGTATAATATACATACATATATATAACTGAATCTATTCAATTATCTCTTTAGGCATATCTTCTTTGAAGCAAAATAAAAATTGACGCATACCTTTTCCCAGTGCACAATTTCCCAAGCACCATTTCTCAAAACTGGAAAGAAAAAATATGACATTTTAGCCAACCTTTTTAATAATTTCTTAAAAGCCAATTTATGATGTATTAAACAAACAGCTTCAAGTAAATCAACTAGCTAAAATTTGTCCAAGTTTAAAAACTAATTTAAACAGCAAAGTTCTAGAAAGATAATAAAGAATTAGAAACCACTAATGCTATGTTTCTTATCCCCCAATTACACATTACCAACAGGCATAATCTCATTACAGATGCTAAGAGTTTTTTTTCAGCATATAGAGAATTACAAGGCCAGGGAAATGACATAAAAGGGGAACTGACAAGTTCAAAGGCATTTCAGAAGCCATAAAGGCAGTGATGTTAGTAAAAATGAAAGAGAGAAGGAAGGAAGGAAGGAAGGAAGGAAGGAAGGAAGGAAGGAAGGAAGGAAGGAAGGAAGGAGAGAAGGAAGGAGAGAAGGAAGGAAGGAAGGAAGGAAGGAAGGAAGGAAGGAAGGAAGGAAGGGAGGGAGGGAGGGAGGGAGGGAGGGAGGGAGGGAAAGAGAAAGAGAGAAAAAGAGAGAGGAAGGAAGGAAGGAAGGAAGGAAGGAAGGAAGGAAGGAAGGAAGGAAGGAAGGAAGGAAGGGAGGGAGGGAGGGAGGGAGGGAGGGAGGGAGGGAGGGAAAGAGAAAGAGAGAAAAAGAGGAAGGAAGGAAGGAAGGAAGGAAGGGAGGGAGGGAGGGAGGGAGGGAGGAAGGAAGGGAGGGAGGGAGGGAGGGAGGGAGGGAGGGAGGGAAAGAGAAAGAGAGAAAAAGAGGAAGGAAGGAAGGAAGGAAGGAAGGATAGCAATGGTTCAAAAATCTTTTTAAATTACAAGCAGAAGAGGATTTGAGTTCTAAATAATAACTAAATATTCAACACAAAAACTAACAGAAAAAGACAGCACTTTTACATTTATCATAAGGCAAAAGAAGACAAGTTTCTGCATTTGGTTTACTGAGAAGGAATAGATACAAAAGGTTATTTTATTGTAAAGGTTGATATTTCTTCCCTGTCTCTCTACTTGTTTTACAAAAGTTTTCAATAGGCCTTTTGTATTTTTTCCTTCTATGTAAAGCCCTCTGGCATAATGCTGAATATATCAATAGACACCAGAAAGATAAAATTAAAGAAACAGGAAAGAGAGTAATGTGAGGAAGATAAGCGTAACACTTAGTACTCAAGAGAAAAGGAAGTCAAGGTCAGTGAATAAATTTATCCCACAGGTAATTCCATGAAAAGCATAGCTAATATTTGCTTTGTTTTAACATTAAATTTTCTGGGAAAGACTCACTAACTGGCAAAAAAGGGGTTGCTCTTGCTCGGCAAATATTTGCTGAAAGACTAATATATATGTACAAAAATAAAAGATTCAAGTTCATTTTTGTGAGACGAGATGAAGAAAATCTCAATGACACTAACTCCCCAAATATCAAACAGGAAATTTAACATTAATTATACACCAACAGGTCTTAAACTCAGTATTATCTTAAATCACATATAAAATATTGAACAATGCCAATAAATATAATCCCTTTATATTCCGAAATTCCCTGAACCAAGAAACAGTGTCTCATTCATTTCTTTATCTCTGGCAGCCTCATCACACTCCTAGGAATAAAGTTACTTAAATTTTTAAGTGTATTAATGCAACAAGAAATATATTACAGATGTATTTCATTAAAAGAATTTTATTGGCTAATAAAACAGGATTAATAATAACAATAATACAAAGTTAGAGCGATAGCACAGAGGTAGGGCGTTTGCCTTGCATGCGGCCAACATGGCTGACCCGAATTCGATTCCTCTGCCCCTCTCGGAGAGCCCGGTAAGCTACCGAGACTATCTCGCCCGCTCTGCAAAGCCTGGCAAGCTCCCCGTGACGTATTCGATATGCCAAACACAGTAACAACAAAGTCTCCAATGGAGACATTACTAGGCCCGCTCGAGCAAATCGATGATCAACGGGAGGGCCTTTACCTTTAATACAAAGTTGGAAATCTAAAAGTATTTCTAATACAACATCTATAACTATATGAAAAGTCAAAGCTCCATGTTTTAAATACTCATACCACTGATTACTGCATCCTAATTATTCATATATCTACTAAGTTTACCCAAGCTCATCCACAGAAGTAATGTCATCTCCTCGGGTTCCTGAAACCCTTTGAGGATTGGCAAAGTGCTATTTGTATGTTGAGGGTCACAGCCAGCAGTGCTCAGGGCTTACTCTTGGCAGGTTCAGGGAACCAGATAGGGTGCCAGGGATTGAACACAAGTTGACTAGATGCAAGGAAAGTGCCCTACCCACTCTGTTATCTCTCTGGGAAAGGCATTTGTCTTGCATGCAGAGAGTTAAATGGTCCGGTGTTTAGAGACAATCTCTGCCATTGCTTGTGGGACCTTCTTCAAAATTGATTGTTTCACAGAGTAAATGTAAGCACTCTCTCTTAAATCCTTAACCATGCAGCATAACATAATCAGTATTCAACAAGGAGCATTGGCAAAGTGCTCTTCAGATCAATAATTACCAAGATAAACTAACACTGAATGTTGAGGCTGGAAGGCTGGAGTGATTTAAATCGGGAAAGCATGGTTCAACAGTACCTCGGGCATCTGGTCAATAGCAACACTGGTGTTGGGAAAAAAAAGTAGCAGCATACATATATATTTGTGTATAAAATATATATGTATACATAATATATGTATATATATATTATCTATTTGGGGATGCACGTGACTATGCTCAGGGCTGTACTCCAGGCTCTGTGCTCAGAGATCACTCCTGGTGGGTCTCAGAGGACCATACGCATTAGAGTCAAGGACTGAACCAAGGCCAATCATGAGCAAGGCAAGAATCTTAGGCCCTGACTATCTCTCCTGCCTGTCATCTACTATTTTTAAAATCTAGAGATTGAACATGAAAGAAAAAACTTCGAGATTAACCGGAAAAATCAGGTCACTAAATGTCCCACACCAGGACATGAGCATGGACCCGAGCATTGGCTGCCTGCTTTGCTGGGGCTCAACGGCTCTACTTGCTGCTACCTCGCTGTTGCTGTGAGCCCAGCTGCTTCCGGCATGAAGCACCTGCCTGGCTCACGCTCAGGAAATTTTCTTCTGTTTACTGGCGTCGAACAACAAACCACAAAGAATTTAAGAGTTCCATTTGAACACCTGGAAATCTACCAGGCTGAGCAATTTGCAAAATAGCAGAAAGTTGCCTCCTGCCCACTTACAACCCACTCTCCCTTCTCAGAGGTAAAGATCAATTAAATGCCATGATTCACCTTGCATTTCACATACACTGAACCATTCAGTATATTTTTTTCTTTCAGTTTTTTCAGGCAACAGTTTTATTTTAATTTTTTAAATTTTTTTATTTTTTTTACCATTTAGCATTTTTGTATTGAGGTCTCAATTTATCAGACTTGCAGACATTTTTTTCTTTTCTTTTGCTTTGAAGGACTGGAGCGATAGCACAGCAGTAGGGTGTTTGCCTTGCACGTGGCCAGCCTGGCAGACCCAGGCTCGATTCCTCTGCCCCTCTCAGAGAGCCTGGAAAGCTACTAAGAGCATTTCGCCTGCACGGTAAAGCCTGGTAAGCTACCTGTGATGTATTCATATGCCAAACACAGTAACAAGTCTCAAAATGGAGACGTTACTGGACCCGCTAGAGAAAATTGATAAACAGCGGGAGGACAGCGCTGCAGTGCTTTAAGAGGCATATGCATTTACTTGTATTCTACTTATTAACATTTGTTTTCAATAGACATGGGATTCAGTCCATTTTTATAGAACATATTAATTGCTATACAAATCACTCTCTTGACTTGAAAAATATGCACACACATTTTTACAATATAAAATTGCAAACAAAACAAAACAAACCTCTGAACAATAAAAGGTAAACATCCTAAGAGCACTACCCATAAAGGTAAACGTTTCAGAAAAAAAGAAAAACAAAAACCAGACTCCCTTCCTCTAGTGCTTGGATGCCCGAGGCAGGTAGCAGGCCTCTATACTACTTTCATAATTAGAAAATTATAGATAAATGCTAAGTTAAAATGGGAAGATCCATTCTGCTTCCTGTGCTTTCTAAAAATAAATATCTCAGGAAAGACACAACACTGGTCTTTGATCTTCTTATTCTCCAAACCTGGGCACCTAAAATACCTTTAAGGGGTCTGGGGGGTATTCTGGAAGCAAGCAGCGTGGCAGGGGGCCGAGGCAGCATTGCTGGGGTAGGGACAACATCTTGGGACACATGAGCACAACAATGATGCGGCAGTGGCCAATTTTAATTGTGGCTCTTTCATGGCAGGGGGGAGATGATGGGGGGAACCAAGAAGTCCTCTGATCTTTCAGGAACCCAGATCACTGTCTTAGCTCCCTTCCTAGGTGGCCCGCAGCACCACTGAGAGTTTTGAGTCCTGCGAAGAGTCTGACATAGACACAGACCTGATGCAGATGGGTATCTTTTCCTTCTCCCCATTAAATTGTCACAGTAGTATAGAGTTAATAATTTTTTCCAATCCAAATTAATTCATCAAGGCATCATGATTTACAATAGCATTAATATAAATGTCTGAGGCTTATTAACACATTTGTATCCTTACAAATGTACACAGAATGAGGTAACCCTTACCCCAAACTCTTCAGGTTTCCCTTTCGCTCATAAAATAAATCTGATATTACACAGCTTTAGATAATGCAGTTCCTACTGACCACCCTTCCCCCATCACCTCCTCCACCTGTCCCACAACTAACTGTGGTGAAAGCAAGTTCCCCTTTCTACCTCACTCCTTTGCTCAGGTTTCCACCACTAGATCACACTTTCCTTCCAGTCACAGCCAGATACTGTCGACACATTTTCTTGATTTCAACTTTTAACACTGCTTTCCAGGCGATGTTGCCTTGACACTCACTCTGTCACCAAAAAACATGCACGCGCTTCCTCAGAGCTGGGATCATGGTTTTACTAGATATTTAGCTGAGAGG